CTGCACTTTGCTCTGTCGCGTTTTTTTATGGCGCTCTCCCGCTCACGGCTATCAAAAAGAGGGGGGGGCGGAGGGGGCGCTTTACGAGCACGAGTGGCTGTTATTACGAGAGGCCCTATTCAATCACAGTGGTGTGGCGCGTGCTCCATTGCAAAGCCTTTTTTTTTGCGCGCGCGCGTGCCTTTGTTAAGGTCAAAAACCAGTCTCTGCGGTGAAATTTACCCCAAGGGATCTCTCGGATGTCGCTCTGTGATGCCCGCTTCCCGCGTGCCCGTCCCCTGAACAGGAACCGTTCGTCGCACGGCTCTGCGCGAGAGATCCCAATGGATTCTTCGTCTTTGTGGCAACTATGCGGACGGCACAATCGGGATAAACGAAAAAGACAGGGGAAAAAAAAAACATTCCCTCTTTACAAATCAAGCAAGCAGTTATGTTGCCACGCAAGCGCCGCCCCCTCTCGCGCAGGCCCTTCTTCCGACAGCAGTGGCGTGAGCAGCCAATTTCAAGGCCGGGGGGGGGTGGCGGCTGCACCTTTACCTTTTCGCGAGCCGCAATCTCTAGTGGCTGCACGGCGTACGCGAACTGGTTTACGTGCGACGTGCGGCGAGCCTCAAAACAAAAAACACGGCCAATCGTCCCGCGCCGATTTTGCGAAGCGTGCGAATCGATTGGGAATTTTACGAGCGGGCGGGCGGGCGGGCGGGCGGGCGGGCGGACAGGCACACGCGGATGGGCGCACGCGCGATGGCGAGTCCACCAGCAGCTGTGTCGGACGGACGGCGAGCGCGTGCTTACGCTAGCCTTCGCCTGTTCCGCGGACACGTGGCCACCCTGGCCCTTGTTTAATATTTCCCGATCGGGCTACGGCCGCCCCCCAAGGGGGTGGAAGCGGGGTGGGGGGGGGTTTGGCCGGTTAGCGGTACCGCCTACAGATGAGAAAAAACACACTAAAAACGCAGCCGCCTGGCAGTAACAGTCAGCAGATTGTATTAAGGCAAATTAGCAACAGCAGCATATCGCGGCCATCTGTTGTTGCGGGAACAAGGCGGAGTTTTATTTATTTACTTGGTATTTTGATTCGGCATTGAGAGTCAGTTCGACTGCGAGTGGTTGGTGGTGGACTTTGTGTAGGGAAGCATCCCGTTCATCGGTTACAAGCAGTTGTCGCGTTTTCTGGGTGTTGCACGCGTTTAACGTTGCGTGTACTAATCAACATTTTTTGTCCATTTGCCGACGTTGCATGTCATCGGTTTACGTTACCCACTGCGGCCACGAGAGGCGCTACGTTTCATAACGAAGTTATGGAATCGATTCGTCAGGGGTTGACTCGTGGCGTCAATTCATGACATTCGATCGAATGAGACGTTTTGGCCTGTTCAGTTGATGAGCGTTTGGCCTAAACAACAGGTAATTTTTTTCTTATATATCGTACATTACGATGCAGTATTCTAACTGCGTTGCTCAAATCGTATCACGGGACGAGAAAACGATTCAACGGACAGCCGCGGGAGTCGCTACCCACCCTGGGTGCCCGTCTTCGACCGTTTAAGCCCTTGTTGTTTGTCTCGTGGGCTGCACCTTCGTACCATCGCACGTGTTTGAAGAAGTGTCCGCAACGGGTTGGGAAACGGACTCCACAGACGGCGATGCGTCGCACGGGGGCCCCCCCCCCAACGTGGGGCGGAGTCTGGGGATGACTGTGGGCCCTCAACGGGCCCACCGCGTGCTCCTCCAGGGGTGGGTGCGGCGGCACGTGATTGCCGGCTGGCGACAATGTTGAGAGCGAGTGGAGTGTAACCCTGTCACCCCAGGGGCACCCACTCTCTCTCCATCTCTCTCCATCTCTCTCCTTCCGCATTGTAGGTATGTTGAACTTCTTTTGCCACCTTACGTAGCCAACCGTGCTCATCGGAGGTGCGGGTAAAGGACAACAAACTAAACACAAAAAGCAGTACTAGAGGGATTCGCTTCTCAATCGAAATGATTTAAAAGTGCATGGCTCCAGTGGCTTCCTAATATCGGAAGGAAGAGCGTTCCAGACGGCCGCAGTAGCGCATCTGATTGCGCACAATGCAGTGACCATCTTTGTTCGATGGTTAGCCAAAAGACGTTGCGAGGATGACCGGAGTGTGCGTGAGGTTTATGCTTCTTGGCGAAATCAGCAATGCCTGCCTCCTAGGCATATCAACATTCACCACTCTCCCTCCGCCTCCCGCCCCCTGTAATGCAATGACACGATTCTGGGGATGCGTTTCGTTTCAAGAACAGCCAATTTACTTTTCGAATATTTGGCATTATTTTGCCGTGATTATCGTTAAAATGCCACTTTTGCACAAATATTAAATTGTCGTCATGCGTAGGCTTGAATCCCGCGTCTTTAACAAGCTATTTAAACGATGCGTCGTACAAAATGATACAGTATTTTGATTGTGTTGCTGGGAGTCGCATCCTAGGTGCTCGTCTACGAGGTTAAAGCCCTTGTATTTGTCTCGGTTGCATCTTCATTTCATCGCAAGTGTTTAAAAAAGTGTCCGCGACGGGTTGGGAAATGGACTTTGGACAGCGGTGGGTCGCATGGACCCCCCCCTCTTCCCCCCCCCCCCCCATGGGGCACGACTGGGGATGACTGTGGGCCCCCTTAAAGACACCACAATTTGTTATTCGGACCGTGCTTCCCACGTACCTGTACAGCCCTGTTGTCGATTCGCTGCTGGGTGGCAGGAGGGCTCCGCACGCCGTTTGCCCACAATCCACCACGCTTGTCAGTGGGCGTGTTAATAATAGCGCCGTATATTTTTTTTTACATGTCGCAAAAAAAAGTCCGCTTTTGACTTTTTGCTAAAGGGGGGGGATGTTCTTATTTTTCCCACCCTGGTAGAAGGGGGGGGGGATGGTGGCGATGATTGGGCCGATTCGATCCCTAACCAAAGGGAGTTGACTCGCAGCCGTTTCCCCCCGCGCCGTTCGTTGGGGCGTTCCACTCAGAATAATTGTTGCACTGCTCGTGGGACAATGTGCGGGGTCGGATCAATAGGAAATAAATAGCGAAGCGGTTTGTTTACTTGCCGAAATGAAATGGCGTTTAGCACATTGACCAATGGACGTCACGGATCGATGCATTACGGCGGCGTTTGTTTAAGCACGGCAAACCCCCAGCGATGCATTAAATGACTCGTCGATGCAGGTGATTTCATTTCAACAAGTAGGCAAACATTTCGTTTATGTTTTATTTGCCCCCTGTATATAACATGTGCCGAGTTGAATTATATTAACCCGGGTCCTGCCCTTTCGCGAGCGAGTCAGTGGCCAGCGAGCTCATTGAGCAGCACCGTCTCCCCTTGCGCTACCCTGGAGGGTGGACTGAGACATTGTGATTGGACACATGCTCTCTGCTGCTGGGTGAAGGCTTCCCCATGCCGCCGCCATTCCTAACGTTCCTGCGATGCCACAATCTTAACCGGTTTCATCGCTCATCACACTGCCTCTGTGGATGTGGTCCCCTTATTCCGTCTCCAACTCTCGTCCGTCGGCCCTCATCCCTCCCTCCGAGTCACGTGACCTGCCCTGGCGCATTTTCCTTCTCTTAACTTTGAATATAATGTGTCTGCCGTGTGTTTGTTCTCTGCAAGGTGAGCCGCCCTTTCTGTTTCTTAGTGTGATTCTGAACATGTAGCCATCCACGCGCTTCTTTGCATCGCTTTGAAAGCTGAGACCCGAGTAAAAAATATTTCACCCAAGGCAGGGGCACGGTTGATGGAATGCGCTCACATTCGTTCTGTCTCGAGCAGGAGCCTTTGACCGAATCACCTGCAATGTGCCCGAGCCCGTCAGATGTTGGGAAGCCAGCGGGTTAGAGCTGGGATGGGTGCTTGCGCAAAAGCTTATTTTATTTAGTCGGTGTTGTGGGATATGAAGCGGATCCCATTAGTTTTTCTGGTCTCCTCCCACCTTAAACTTGCACGGTGAAGTATGGTGAAATATAGCTCACGGGTCCGCAAGATGCGCGGAGGCCCTCATCCAGCATGGGATTTACAAAAGGGCCGCAACATCTACACGCGTGTACAAGAGCTCCCTGTCGACACGCTCCGTCATACGCGCCGCTATCGCGGCACGTGACCTTGTGGCTGCTCATAACGGGCGCTGGCCTCCAGCGGCATTATATATTCATTGCTGGTCTCCCTATCGGACGAATGAGTGGCAACCACACTCGGCGCTCGCTGGCCACGTCTGCACGTTCTCGCCGTGACCCGTGATGCCACTCGTGCATGGTTCCGCCCGTCTCGGACCCGTCGTTGATCGGCTTCAGTCGTGAGAGGTTGTCGCCTTGGTGTCGTGTGTCTTTGTGCCTCTCCGGAGGTCACAGTGAAACAAGGTGTACTCGTAAATGCGTGTCGGAGGAACCGTTAACTTACAGCTGCTCCGGGGCACAGGGTCACCTCTGTGTGTGGTTGTGAGTTTTTATGGTTCTTTTCTTTTTATTTCCCATAAACCAAATTTAGATGAAGGTGTTTTTTGGGGAATGACCAATTAAAAAAATGAGTCTTAATTTGAAAAAAAAAAAACTTGTTGCCAGTTTGTTTTTGTTTTGCCAAATGCTTGTGAATGGTGACTTCAGCGCGCACACCTGTGAATGGCGATGTTCGAAATTAAAGTGCAAATCGATGGTGCAACACGCATCGTGAGGATGACATGTCATGACGACATCTCATGGTGTCATTCAAAAAAGAGTAGGCCCGCGTGTACCAGTATCATGGTCCAAAAGTATGAGAAATCACTACATTTGGAAGCCATATTGCAACGTCGTCCCTCTGCCGGCAGGCTAATGATGAATTGAAGTCCGGTGCTGGGTTCACCTCGTGCGTCACAGGGGGGGGGGGGGGGCCCTGTAGCATGACACCTCAAGATATGCTGCATGGGAGGCCTGGGATAAATATTAAGTGACGATGATGATGATGAAATGATCCGGCTCTCACCCACAACGTCCCGTTTTTGCCTTCTAGGGCCGCCCCAAAGTGTTCAAGCACTGCGAGCCAGAGCTGGAGGGAGCCCACGCAACGCAGGGGGAGCCGACGTTGGACGGCACCGGCGGCACCGGCGGCACCGGCGGCACCGGCAGCACCGGCTCCCCTGCCGGCGAGCCCTCGCGGGGGGCACGGAGAGAACCGCCGGGTTCCGCCGACCGTTGCTGGGGCCAGGACGACGCGCGTTTGGGGACCGACTGCCTCGGCGCGCTCGATGGAGCCGCGGCGCAGAACTGTGCACCCCAGATTCTGCCGCGGCCTGCGCTTGCCGGACGTGGACCGCGGGCAGCGACGTCATCTTCCAGAGCGGCCGCGAGGGCCTCCGCGTGCACCGAATTGAGCGGCAGTGGCGGCGATCAAGCCGACCGCAGGATCGCTGCCAAGATGGAGGTGCCGGGCGAGGAAGGAGCAACTGGCGCAGAGGCCCGACCGAGGCCTGGCGAGGCCCGTGCTGTGGCGAGCCGCTTCCGGAAAAACAAAGTGGCGTACCTGTCATCGGCGTCCGAAGATAGCCAGGAGGAGGAGGAGGAGGAGACCGCGTCTTCCGGCGTCTCGCGTGCCGCCGTTACCGCCGCCGCCGCCGCCGCATCGACAGACAAAGCGCGTAAACCCGGCGGCGCCCAGGCCCTGCCCACCGGCAAGCGGGACGTCCCGTCCGGGTGCCTTGGTGGCCCCGCAGAGGAGCGGTGCGGCGGGCTGCCGGCGAGGCCTGCCACGGCCGACTGTGCTGCGTCGGCGCTTCACCACACGGAGGACTTGGCCGCGGCGCTGCAGCCCACGCTGCAGAGTTGCGACAGCTGCAATGACGGCGAGCCGCGCGTGCCGAGCCTACCGCCGGAGCTCCGGGAGCACCGCGGGTCGAGGCACGGCTCTCCCGAGCCTCCCCGGCTTGTGCGGGAGGGCTCCTTCGAGGACGGCAAAGTGGAGGTTTTGGCCGACGCGCCCGGCTGCGACGCGGGGCCTCGGCGGACTGGCGATGTTTGCGCAAAGGCCGCGGCGAGGACGAAAAACGTGAAGAGGAAGGCGGCGCACAGCCACAGGCCGAGTTCCATCATCGGGGGCCAGAGCCGGGCCCCGAAGATGCCGACGCTGCAGCCGGAGCTGGTGGTGCGCAGGAAGAAGGGGGGCGGGCGCCAGGCAAAAGAGAAGGCAGGGGCCGAGAGGCACGAGCTTGATGCCGAGTCGTGGATGGTGTATCAGAGCCGCTCCAACAAGGGCGCCGGCCACCTCAAGAAGCTGAACAAGTTCGGGCTCCCGCTGAACAACACGGAGCAGAGGCCCGTGTCGCTCATCGCGCAGGCTGCCGTGTCGCCCAAGTTCAAGGAGTTTGGGCACCGGCCAATGCCGCCGCCTGGGATAACGGGGCGGCCGCCGCTGTCCCTGTCGCCTCCGGCTCTGCCAATGGGCGGCGGATTCCTTAAGCGGCCCGTGATGTTCGCCGCTCACGGCGCCGACGCCGCCGACTTGAACAAGCCCAAGAGGGGGCGGCCTCGGTCGAAACCCTCTCTGCAGAAGGACAAGCCGCTGATGGCGCTCGTTCCGCCGCTCGCCGCCGCCAAACCAGCAGCGGCGGTGCCGCCCCCGATAAAGCGCGCGATGCTCGGCATGTTCCACCAGCACGGCGGCGGAGGCGGCCTCGGCTCGCTGGTCTGCCTGGACGAGGGCAGGCGGGGGAGAGGCAGGCCGAGGAAAATGGAGATGGGCATGGGTGGCGTCATGCGTCCGTCGCCCATGCTCTCCGCGGTTCGCGTGGGCGGCCATCTCGGTACCGCCGTCTTTGGGCGCCAGGAGCTGAAGGAGGGCGGCGCAGCGGCCGGCATCGACGGCGCCGGCGGCCTCGAGATGGACGGCAAACGGTTTAAACGGTACAAGGAGGACAACGACGTCTCGCCCACAGACATCGCGCACCACGCAGAGTTGCAGGCCAAGAAGGACCGGCCAATGGTCGGCAAGGTACTGGACAAAAAATTGATCAAGAAGATCAACAAGATGAGGACACTGAAGCGAAAGAAGATCCTGAAGCAGATTCTGACGCCGGGAAACGCGATAAGGGAAAAGCCTCAACCGAGGGTGGCTGGGCCCGTTTCCACCATCGCAGCGGCGCTCGGCTCTCGGCTCAAGCAGCAGATCAACGTGAGCAAGCGTGGCACGATATACATTGGCAAGAAGAGAGGCCGCAAGCCAAAGGCCACGTCCGATGGCTGCCCAGTCTCCAGTCGGGGCAACGCCCTCTTCGGCAGCGGCAGTGATTACGGCGCCAGTTTCAACCCGCTGAGGAGCCAGCAGCAGCACCTGCAACATCAGCATCTGCAGCACCAGCAGCACCTGCAGCACCTTCATCACCTGCAGCACCAGCAGCACCAGCAGCACCAGCAGCAGCAGCACCAACAGCACCGCGCCGGCGCACTGTCGCCGGCTGTGTCGCATCCGGGGCCTTCCTCGACACCGCAGCCGTCGCCCGCGCGCACGCACTTCTCCAGCTTTAGCGGCAACCAGAGCCCACCGAGCAGCGACGCCGGCAGCTTTGTGGAGCCCACGCTGGCGCCGCCGCCCACTCCCCTGCAGCGCCGCTTCGTTCCCACCAAGGCGGCGCGCAAGTCCGTGCGGCCGCCGTCGCCGCCCAACTCTCCGTGCTGCCGCGCGCTCCCGGATGCCGCGATGATCCTGAAGGAGGCGACGCCGTCTCCCGCCAGCGAGTCGCACAGCGACGAGACGGTGCCCAGCGACAGCGGCATCGGCACCGACAACAACAGCACGTCGGACCGCGGCGAGAAGGCCTGCGAGGGGCTGCGGCGCCGGCGGCAGCATTTCACGGGCGACGCGGCCTCGGCGGACGACATCTCCGCTTCGGCTGTGGTGGCGGCCGCCGAGCAGCAGGCGCTGAAAGCGTGCGCTGGCATTGCGGTGGCCGGCGCCGCTGGCGCCGGCGGCCCGGGTGTCATGGGCACCGGGAAAGAGAAGAAGGCCCACCGGGGCAAGCGGCGGCACCGCGGCCTGATGGGCGACCTGCTGCTGTACGAGAAGCTGAAGAAGCAGAAGCGCAAGCGCAAGAAGAAGTACCTGCAGATGCACGCGGCGCGGCAGGACCCTGGGTACCTGTCGGCGCTGGAGGACGCCGTGCGTTGCCTGGCAGAGCTGCGCCTCACGCAGCGCGGGCCTCGCTACATCCCGCGCGACGTGCTGCCCTCCATCTTCCGTGTCAACTTCAGCCACTTTTACGCGCTGGCGCCGCCCTTCGCCTTCGACCCGTTGCACTACATCAGGCGGGCGCCGCCCGACCCGCGCGCCCTGGGCATGCGGCGGCGGGGGAGGCCCCCCAAGCCGCCCGACGGCTGCTCGCCATCGCCCGACGTGGTGGCGCCGCCTCCGCCCTTCCTGCCTGGCGTGGGCTACCCGCTGGCGACGGGTCGCTACTTCGACTCGTTCGGCCTGCCTTACATTTCGTCGCCGCCGCCCCCACCTCCGCCCGTCACGACGAGCAGCCTGAGCCTGGGCTACTACGGGCAGTACCCGCCGCCCCTCTACCCGCCGCCCCCCATGCCGCCGCCGCCACCCGGGGCCCTGGCCAGTCGCCTGAGCCCGTTCGACTTCCGACTGGGGGCTCCGCTGGCACTGCTCAACGGCCCGCCGCCGCCGCTGCCACCGCCGCCGGCGTGCTTCCGCAGCAAGAGGGCACGGCTGGTGAGCGGGCGGCACGGGAGCAAGCTACGGCGGCGCGAGCGTGAGGCCTCCGAGCGCAGCTCTCCGGACACGTCGCCCGGTCCCCGCGCGCAGTTCCACGTGCAGGACGGGCGCTTCTCGGACGATGAGGAGGAGGATGAGGAGGAGGAGGAGGAGGAAGAAGAGGAGGAAGAGGAAGAAGAGGAAGAAGAGGAGGAGGATGACGAGGAGGAGGAGGAGGAAGAAGAAGAGGAGGAGGAAGAAGAAGAAGAGGAGGATGAGGGGAGGAGTGAGCATCGTGGACGGGAGGGAAGGGTGATGGCTGGGCGCTCGGCGTCTGTTTCTCGGTTGCAGGTGGGTCCTCGTGATGATGGTGCAGTCGAGGGAATTGTCTCTTGAGCTCCCGCGTTAATTCTTTAACTTTGTAACCTATAAGTGGCCAAACATACTGAGCTGAATAGCTCTCCGATTGTGCTTTTGGGTTGTTACCGCACGTCTCGCTCCACTTGCTGGGAGCTTCTTCTTTAGGAACAATTCATAAAGGAGCTCCCAGCACGTGGAGTGAAACGTCGGACATCGTTGCCAAACAACAATAAAAGCCGAAAACACAAATCCGGGTTCTGTAGCACGACCGCGAAAACGGTGGAAGTACATTCCCGTCGTTTATTACTCTTGCTACATCCACAGTGATCGCTGAGCTCCAGAACGTCCGCTTGTTATTTATCTTGCAGCCAAGACCGTACGACGCGATCAACGAGTCGATTGACGCGTGCGTGCGGAGGTACTCGCAGCCCGGCTCCGCCAACGCCTTCCCGTGGCGGTCCCGTGACTGCGGCAGCGGTGGCGCCGGCTACCGCCGAGGCTCGCTCGACGAGAGGGCCCGGGGCCGCCCGCCTGCCGACATGACATCCCCAGCCTTCATGGGTGAGTCGCGTAGCGGCGTCGGCTCTCTCTGTCGACGTCCGGCGCCATCCGCTTTTGAGAGGGTTGGCGCGGGCCCGTGGTGCTGTGGTGGCGAGATGTTAACTGCCTAGCCTGGTATACAGGAGGTCGTGGGTTTGATACTGACCCTGACATCTGTCTTTCCCCGTAATCACGTATATTTTTCTGTTGGGCCTCCGATTTTTTCCCTTCACATTTAGAGTCAACATGCGTTTCGAGTATTTTGCCGCTATAAATTTCCCCATGATAATGAACCGCTTCGTTGGGCTATCATTCGTGGCCAGGTGGCTTCTGGAAAAGTTGGGCCTTACCTTGTAAAATAGAAAGTTTATATATTCTTAGCTCTTTCGGTAAAGTCACGTTGAAGGGAAACAATAAAATAATAAAATATATATAAAACAATAAAAATTCTCACAATAAAATAATAAAATATATTTAAAACAATAAAAATTCTCACACGTGACTTTACCGAAAGAGCTAAGAATATGAATTACTACAATCACGAAAGCTTTAAATCAGAAATAGTTTAGTTTTAGCCTATCCTCTTCCCCCTGACGCCCCGTTGGACTCATCCACCTGCCAACGCCACTCGTCGATCTAATTTAAAATTTGACCTCCCGGCGATTCGGTCATTTCTCACTAATCCGATGGTCACGATTCTATTAAAAAGCTCGAATCACCTTTGCCCTGCGTCCACCCATTCTACGACGGTGACCACCTCCGGGAGAGTTGCGTTGCTCCGGCTCTCTCCTCCTCCGCTCGTTATGAAAAAAAATGTTATCGAATTAAAGGGGCAGCCCTCTATTTGCGCATGCCGAGCACCAGGTAGCACCAGGTAGCACCGAAGCCTTGAGGAGCTCGCCAGTGGCTGCCTGTGCCCAACAGGGATTTAATGTAAGTCTTCAGCAGCACACCCGATAGCAACAATCGAAACATTGGGGAAGGGTAAGAATGCTTTTTTTGTTGTCTCGTGCTATGATGAGGGTTTGTGTTTTTCAACCACGACCAGAGGCAGCTGGATATGTTATCTCTACCCCGATCTGACCCCAACCTCCCTTCCCCCCCCCCACGTATAATACAAGTACTGTCAGTAAGCGAGGCCCTCGGGAAGGTATTATAATTTGAAACCCAAGTAACATAGGTCATAGGCATTAAGGAGGTGCCTTCCATCACGCGCGTTTACTCGACAGTCGATTTTGCGGGGTTTTTTTCGGTCACCCTTGTTGACGTACTTCCTCGCTCGAACTCCGTCCCGGCGCGTCCACTCTGCCAGGATACCTTGAACCCAAACAACATTTCTGTCATGCGGCAATCCCGCCCCGCGCAAACCTTGAAAGGTGCCGAGGCACATGAGCTTCACTGCAAAGCCTCCCTCGCCGGAAGTGCACTACTCCTACGTCGCACAGGGCGGTGTGACGGCAGCCTTGCGGTTGGCGACCCTTTAAAAGAAACCACTCCAAGCTGCCCTAAAATATGTTGCACACATCATTGATGCTTGAGCTTTTTTTCGCGTTTTATTTTCTTCCCCCACAGCATTTAACTATCTTAAGGTTTGCACACCTACAACTAGATCACTGTAGGAATGCGCCCAATCTCGTCTGATCACGGAAGCTAAAAAAGCAGGGCTGAGCCCAGCGAGTGCTCGACTGGGCAACCGCCGCACACAAAACAGGTGTTATAGGCTACTGCTGCTTTGTTGTCGGCAGCACCAGGGCAGTGCGACGTGACCCATTGCTGTACTGTACTTCTATGCTCCTTCCCTTCACCAACGCACCTCCACTGACCACCGCGGTGAAGTTGTGCTCCAGTAACCTCCCGTGACTTGATGCCGCCATGGGAAGGCCCTCGCCCAACAGTCGATTGACAAAGGACTGCACGCGCGCGCATTGTTAATTCGTTTTCCATAGGACACAACGGTTAACTTTGAACGTTCATCTCGGCGATACGTTCAAAGCGTCCGCTACACTTGGGGCTGAGATTAAACATTCCTCTATAATAATCCCCCGTTGGAAGCAAGGGGCCAGGAAGGTGACTCACCTTTAAGGCCCCCCAGGCTTTTGCTTCAGGTGTCAAGGTTACTTCACTCTACCCCCCCCCCCTTTCCTCCCACATTGGCCTCCACCACCCATCCCTCTCCACACCAACACAATGATCGTCCTTGCTGTGACACGCACAGACTGTTGGTGCGAGAAGCTGCAACAGCACATGAGGGAATGGTGTGGCCAGTGCCAAATGATGCTATTTGCATACCGCATCAGCCGCCCATTTCAGGCTGAGTCGATCTAGGGGAAGGCCATATATCCACCACTAATGTTGACCATTTTGCACAAGTTGAACCGAGGTTGCCGGCTTCCAAGCACAGTGCGCTGACCGCTGCACTACCGCTCCCCCCTCACCCCACGTGCCAATTCCCACACATGCCTCAAAGGTGTGGACAAGGAAGGGCGATTAAAGGAACATTCTTGAGCTGCCCAAGTAGACGAGGTGCTCTTAGGTGGGGGGGTGAGGGCGGGTGCCTAATCTCGCTTGGAATGCGGCCATAGCAGCGCTTGTCCAAACCCGCAAGTGGCCATCAGCACTTAGGGTGATGGAATCGGTCATCGGTCTGTCAAAAATATTTTTCAGAATCGATCGTTGGTCTCAAAGGTCCATGGATTTGATCGTCAAATCGGGTTCAGCATTCGTAACGATCGACCGATCGGCGTGCACGCACGCGCGAATGTTCAAACCGCGCAGCGCGTTTCAATGTGATTGGTCAAGCGGTAGCCTTCGTGCGGGGGCACCAGTGGCACCAGGCTCATTAGGCACCACGTGCTACTTTTCCACAGACCAACGGGACTTTTATTTTGCGATTATTGACAAAAGACAAAACAAAAAACTAAATGAACGTGCCCCAGTGAGCACCATCCACTCTGTCCGATGGCTCCGAGTGACTTGATTAGCAAACGATGATAACGTCCGTTCTCTTATCAATCCACTGCTGGATGAATGCCTCCTTATGCCATATCGGTCTTGAGGGTTGGTTAACCGTGTTTCCACATGCTCGTCAGTGCAGAACGTTGAATTTGCGGGGGGGGTGGGGGAGATCGAAGGAGCGGTTCGCATATCACTCGCCTCTGTTAGACGTGGCCGGGCATCGAGGTTTAAGTGCATTGCTCTAACCACTGCACCGCCACTCGCACAACCCTATTATTGCAACGTCTAAAGTGCCAATTTAGATTGCGAAACGTTAAAACCTCGAGTACGTTTGGGTACGAAGGCCATTCCGCATTCCTTCGTTACGTTGTTGCAGTTAAGAGAGCCTGGTGATGGGCCGCGTGATACCATTGGGGTGCCGGTAACTACTGAGGTCAGGAAAAAACTAGACAAGACCAGTCGGTCGGTCAACGGTGGTGTTTGTCTCGCTTATCGTTTGACCCCCCCTCCCCCCCCCCCCAGTTGCCGAAGCATATGTCACTATTTCACTTTGGAGAGCATTTCCTCCCCAGCCGAGGCCACCGCACAACCCTACCCCTTTCTCACCAACGCCAGATTCCCCCCCCCGCCGCCGCCGCCGCCGCCGCCCCCGTGCTCGTTGTTGGCGATCAGCGAGGCCCAACCGCTCGCACCTTCCCAACCGCCGCTTCCTCCTGGGTGGCTCGCGAGGGTCACGAGGTCGCGGGCCTGCAGCCGTTAACGCAGCGAGACCCTTTGAACCCGGATATCCCTGCAGCTTGCCGCCGGGAGATTTGTTGCGTCTGGGTGCTCCACCCCCCCCTCCCCCCCTACATACAGCCTTTGCGTGCTGGCTGCCATCCCAGGCCAGCCACCGCCGAAGAGGAGACGTGCGGCTTCCAAGTGATATCAGTTCTGCGCCGTGCACCGTCACTGGACTCCCTGTAAAAAAAAAAATTAGCACTATCCGCCGATATAAGGGAACTCCCTTGCCTCTTTGCAAGTGTCAGAGCCCCCCGGGCAGAAGCAAAAGCACCTCCGTGGGGTCCCGTCGCCGGCCCTCAGGCCATCTGTGCGAGATCAGTCTTTATCCTCTGCCCGGAGTAGCGCAGTAATGGATTAGTCGTTTTGTTTGGGCGTTCACTCGGATGTGCGTCCGAGGCCTTTGCGCCGCCTTCCCCGGTCAAGAGGAGCTGTGACCGTCCTTGGTCCACATGCGAAGACCACCTCGCATGTGTCAGCCTCGACACCTCCCTCCTGCCGGCGGTGTGTTGTCGACGATTGTGATCCACGGCGCGCGGAGTGGTTCCGTTGGGTCGCTCTTCTCGGCCGGCCATTCGGGGGCCGTGCAAGATTTTATAGACTTGTGCCAGGCACCGTTTTTTTTTTTTTGCAGTCGACATTTGCTCCCGTTGGGCGGTTGCTGTTTCTCATCTTGCACGACTCCGCTTCCACTCCAGCAGCCAAGGCTTTCTCTCGAATCGTCCAGGAAAAAGCTAGCTCGGTGGGAGGTCCGCTGATTCTTCTCTACTGCTCTCGTGGTCTGGACCACCCTTAACCCAGACATCTGTCCTGTCGACTGCCCCCCCCCCCGTTCAAGTCCAGGCTCCTGAGCTTCATTTTTTCCCTTTACCCATGGCCGACTGCCTCTCTCTTTATATATAAATAAATTAAAGCTCATGTTTTGCGTAGAGCGTGTTGAAATGCAGTCGATCTAGTCACTATAAATATCCACCTTACAGTGTGTACAAAAGGTGTGTTCTTGTAATAAAGAGGCCTATTAAAGTGGCTTCAGCAGTCATTTCAATAGTCCTATGACATGTTTGCAGAACTGTTCTCCAACACAAAGTGATGCACTGCCCACTGTCCGAGTGGAAATTTGTTATTGTTACAACGCGCTAAGACATTGTTATTCACTCATTTTCAGAGGAGGGGGGCACTTTCGCCGATAAAACATCAGTGTGAGCGCCACCACACATTTGAAAACCATTGAGGTTTGACAGCACGTTGATGATGGTGGTCGTTTTCACGATTTCTGTATTGTCAGGGGCCGCACTAACGGCCACCAGGGGTCCGCCAGTGGCCCCGCGGGCCTTGCAATGAAGAACACCGCGCCAAGAGAACACTTTGAATGCAATTGAGCCTAAAGTAGGCGCTCGCGTAACAGCGCAAGTATCGTTTTAATGCGGTGAAAAATCGTTGTGGAAAACGTTCTTCGCAAGCTCTTCGGAGAAACGACGAGGCCAGCAGCAGCCGTGCTTTGTGCATCGTTGGCGGGGCGCTGTGCCGAAGTTGTGGCCGCCAATTGGCCGGCCGGCATGCAGTTCCACCGTACCAGGCATAAACCGCCCCCCCCCCCCTCCCTCCCTCCGGGACAAAACTCTCGGCTGCTTCACCAGATTTTGGCGGTGAGCACAATCGTGATATGATGAGCCTCTGCAAATAGAATGTCCACGCGTGGGTACACTCCGTTTCTTAATCCACTGCTGGATGAAGGCCCCCTCCCCATGCCGTGCTAGTGGTAGTGGGGGTAACTTGACCGTGCTTCATCGTTCTCGTCCGTGCGGATTGGTGAAGGCAGGCCAATGGACCGGTTCAGGTAAATCTCGGCACCAATGTTCGCCGTGGCTGGCAATTGAACTCGGGCTGCCAGGTTGATAGCGCGGTGCGCTAACCAATGTTCCACTACTCCCAACAATCCTAGTAATAAGCAGCCAGCAGGTAAGCGGTTTGTTTTAAGGTCCGATTGCAACAACAGTTCATCCATTGACCAAAGGAGCATAAAAGCACAGTACAGTCCAACAATATGGGTTTTTTTCCCCCCCCCCACACTCACTGCTGCCCACAACATAGCGCAAACCCCACCGCCGCTGCCTTTGACCTGGCGTGCATGACGGTCGCTCTTTGTCCCATTATCCAGACTCAAAACTCCTGCTTAGCTTCTGAGATCTACAAAGGGAATAAGGGGGAGCAAGGCGAATCACCGCCGCGCGTGTGAGAGTCTCAATCTGGCACACAGAGAGAGAGAGAGAGAGAAAAAAAGAATGTGTGGCATTTGGCAGATGGCATTAATGGAGGAAGGGCAGTGTTTGTTTAGAGTTTGGTTCATTGACTTTGTCCACGGGGAGAAGCAGAGAGAGAGGAGGGACACGGAGAGCGAGATGAGGGCCAACCCCCCTCGGTGGACTGGACTGACCGGCAAGGCAGCATTTGTTCTTTTGTGTGGGTGGCAGCAGCATCAACACACGCTCAAAGACAAAGATCCCCCGTATAGCCTTCGGTGACTTTTCGGGCAAGTGCTGTTAGCAAGCACCTATGAAGATCCGGCACAGCGCATTCAGGGGTGGGTGGCCAGCACCCACGCCCGGCCGCCTTTGTCTCCCGAGTGGTGATCTATGCACACCACATCAAGTACTCATTTGAGGCTGAGTCGACCTAGGGGAGGCCCAGGACTGGTTCAGATAATCGTCACCGGTGTTGGTGGCCGCGAGCAAGAATCGAACTGATCGCTGGGTTCATAGCGCAGTGTGCTAACTACACTACAGCCCCCCACTACTGCACGTACACACACATGCATACACACAGATGCATAAGCATACGTACATGAGAAGAACAAAAACAGCCGCCATTCTCCTCTTAGTGGCGGCGACGTCTCCACAGCGCTTGTGCCAGGCTAGGTGCACTTTTTAGGCAATTGGATGTGATGAAGGCTCCCTGACAGGAGGTCACGGGACAGACCCAGGTGTTATGGGTTGACTGATGTAGATGAAATACTAACGGATGCACCTCGTCCGCCGACCTGGTTAACACCGAGGGAGGGGGGTGGGTGATCGACGTAAATGTATAAACCATCAGAATTCTAACTCCGGTGTTCCTCGCAGCAGCAGCGGCTTGTTGGCTGGCCATCGAACAAAGACGGTCACCGCTTCGCGCGCTTTTAAATGTTCTTCTGCGGCCATCTAGTAATGCTCTTCCGATATTAGGAATCCACTGGAGCTTTGCAGCTTTTAAATAATCTACATTGACGAACTAATTTCTTTAGAACTGCTTTTTGTGTGTTAGTTTGCCCTTCCCCTGCACCTCCGATTAACACGGTTGGCTACGTATGGTGCTAAAGGACTTGACCATACATACGTGCAGCAGTAAATATTAATGTCAGCACACACACAAAACACAAGTGCCCCAGTATAGCCTACACAGTGTTAAAGTTTACGTTGTTTAATCAGTTGAGACACCAGGGTAAGTAACCTGGACCACCAAGAGTTACTAAGGCGTGAAAACCAAATAAAGTTAACGGCAATGAAAGGCAACACAAATCTCAATATAACAACAACTTTGTCACGAGAAATAGAAAGTATTGCACGAACATAAATCGCTCCTTAAATAACAAAGTCCCCCCCCCCCCCTCCTGTCGCGCAAGTCAAGGCAAGTTCTGTTGGGGAGCAGCTGTCGGAACCTGCAATGGCGCAGGAGGAGGTCGTGTGACCGGTATCGCAACTAGCTGCCCTTTGTCTACCCTGTCCTGAAGCTTTCACACGGGCGCAACCATTTTCTGGCTCGGTCAACCTAGAGGAGGCCCAGGACCAATGCTAAATATTATTCGCCACACTGCAATAATTGCTACACCATCACTGCCCACTCTGCAACAAAGACGGATCTCCCCTTTAGCCTCTACCGACTGGTGGGGCAGGTGCCGTTCGCACCTCTGAAGGACAAACACGGCGTACGAGGGGGTGGGTGGCCAACGCCATGCCCGGCAGCCTTTGTCTCCCCATTGCTGATGTATACAAACCGCGGAAGATATTTATTGAAGGCTGAGATGACCTAGGGGAGGCCCAGGAACGTTTCAAATATTTGCCACTGTTATTGGTCATGAGCGGGATATCGAAGTCGGGTCACCAGGTTCATAGAGCAGCGCGCTAAACAGTGCACCGCCATTCACCACTACAACACGCACACAACACACTCATTACACACTCCACTAACGCATCGCACACTCCCCAACACACACACAAGCATGTGCACACACACGCAAGTCCTTGCACTGAATGCTCTCGAGTGTCAACATAACCAGAGCTGGCTACTTACGTTGTCCCCCAAAACAAAGATCCCCCGTATAGCCTTAACAGACTGTTGGGGCAAGTGCTGTTTGCGAGTAACACCTATGAAGGCCGGAACGGCACACGAGAGGGGGTGGGTGGCGAGCACCATGCCCGGCCGCCTTTTTCTCGCCAGTGGCGATGTTTACTACACACTGCACCAGGTACTCATTTGAGTCGACCTCTAGGAAGTCCAGTGACAATTATCTGAACCGATTTTGGTGTTGGCTGTGAGCGGGAATCGAAACTCGGGTTGCGCCTGGTTTGTAGCGCGACGCGCTAACCGCTTCACCCACCGCTCCCCACTGTTGACCCCCCACACGCACGCACATGTCCTGGCTTGCATGCGCATGCAAAGCACCTTCATGGGACGCTCGCACTTGCACTCAATAATAATGCGCCCGTGTAGTTGATAAGGGTGCGGAGCTTATGTGGGAAGCTCGGGGTGTGGGGGGGGGGGGCAGTGTGGTGCCTTCAGAATAGCATTGCTCTGAATGAAATCCAATGCTCGGAGATGGACACGCGAGGGCGGCAATTATTTACGTCACTTAATACAGTACTTTAAGTGTCTGTTTCTGGTAACAGTGTGTGGGTTTGGGGGAGGAAAAAGAAACCCAGGCTGGGACCTTAAGGAAACATCACTCTCCCACTAACCAACCTCTTCGCCAATACCCACACCACCAGTCGGCAAACCGCATCTTAACGCTCCCTGGCTGACCCGCCCTCAATTCGCGTTCGTTTATTTTGACAGCCGGAGAAGGGGAAGGAATCGTGTCGCTGAGGGGACGCCCTGTTCCTTACGCAAACGCGGGGGGGGGGGGGGGGAAGCGAGAGCGGTGAACAATCGTGGGTGGGGTTGTTGGGAGGGTGGTGCGAGGTGGGGGGGGGGAGAGTGTCGTGCGGAGGGCATGAGATAAGGTGGGGTGAGGTGGGAGGGGAGCCGCTGAGAGAGAAGGAGCCGGGCGTGGAGAAGTGGTTCTGTCTGTGGGAGCCGCCGTTTTGTTTGTGTGGACGGTGCCGGTGATGAGGTGGGGGGACGGGGTTTGGGTCAGAGGCCGTCGCTCTTCCTTTAACAGCCCACTTGACAGCGGCGCAGCCCCGTGCGGTCACCCCCTTTGGCCGCAGAGCAGGAAGTTATTTGAGGAATTAATCTCGGGCTACGTGCTTCTGCGGTGCTTGACGGCTCCACTCATCTATGGCCCCTGCTGTATGCGCCACTCATCCATGGCCCCGGCTCCAGGCAGAAATTGGTCAATCGCCCTCCCACCCGCACCACACACGTGGACCAGAGAGAGGGGTTATCGTGAAAAGTTTTGGCACCTTCTCTACCCTTTGCCGTGGTGGCCATTATGAACCCGCATAGGCAAGACCCTGGTGGATAACTCCAGAATCCTCTGGTCCGTGATGGGGGTCAGGAGTTGCCATTAAAACGAGCGGGCTCGTGAGCGCCACGTACGTGCAGAATTTTTTGAGCGTTGCCCCCCCCTCCCCCTTGTGCTGTTACACTTCCATTGTCTCCCAGGTTTTTCTTGCACGCATAAACAAAAATGCTCCTCCAAAAAAAAAGGAATTATTCCAAACGTCCCAATGTAACTTTGTCCCGCGACTTGGAGCGACGGATTAATTAACGTGATTGTACGTAATTTGTTACGTTCAACCCGGTACCGTACGTTTGTTTGCGTCGTTTGGCAAGCAGGCATGGTCGGCCTGTCGGCGCGAGACCGTGACCGTGCCGGGCGGTGCTGGCCCCCAGGAGCCGGCCCGCTGGGCAGTGGAGCCCCGTCGATGGCCAGTGGCCGCAGGAGGTCACTGTCGGACAGCTCCAGAGAAGCAGGTGGGGAGGACCGGGAGGGGCACCGCGGCAGTCACAGCCAGCACGCGTGTGGCGGGGGGTGGTGGTGTGTGAGGTTCCTGCCGCCGTTATTGTTACTTGTAATGTAAACCGTTGAAGACGAATCACGCATCCGCGTGCAATCTGCAAGTGCTTTCCAATGCGCGTTCAGCCTCGGAAGTATTTTGGTGAACGAGCTGCACGTTAGCGACGGTGTCATGGCACGGCTCGAGATGATGAGCTTCGTTTTGCACTGGATTTTTATTACCATGTTTTGAGGCAAGACTTTGATCAATTTGGCCGGTTTTCTCGAGGGTAAAATTCCTAGCGGCAACACAATGTTACGCAAGAATGTCATTTAAAGTGGGTCATATTCTACGAGAGTTATCGTGAGTTGGAAAATATTCACAGCCGTGAATCCACTATTGGGTGAACGCCTGCTCACCCCACATGGGTCATAGGGGTTGTTTGACTAGCTCGTCACGCTTTTTAGTGTGGGTTGGTCAAGGGGAAGCCCATAAGCAGTTCATGGGCTGACTTGTTAGCCGTGGTCGGGAATTGAACTCGGGTCATATAGTTGTGCCTTTGATTGCCATATAGGTCTGGCTTCTGTTTCTGTGTGCATGCAACATTATAAGCAAGTAAAGTTTGCAGGTAGGCGAAGACCTCCAGACAATGAGATCACGGGCCTGAGCTGGATCCCAATATATGGTTCAGCTGCATTTAAAAGAAGCTCTCCTTCACGACAGCTCTGTAAAGCAAAACCTTGGAACAGTTTCAACTTCGCAGAGTCTCATCCGTTAATTGTGGCCTCCGAAACTGCTGTCGTAACCGCAGTGCCACCGGCACCTGCAGCGCTCACCGGGCCTGCCGTTCATTCGTCCCACAGGCTCCGCTGCGGGCATTGGCAGGTCCGGCAGCTGCTGCGGCGGCGGTGGTGGCGGAGGCGGCAACGCGGGCCGCATGGCGGCGGCGGCGGCGGCGAGCTGGGGCGGCAACTGCTGCGGTGGCGGCGTCGTCGTCGTCGGCCGCACCAAGCGCAGCGAGGCGGAAGCCATGCGGAGGCAGGCGAGGCGCGATGGCCGCGCGGCTCTCGGCCTCGAGCGGCTGCAGGCCGCCAAGCGGGGCCTGGTGCACGTGGGCCGCATCCTGCGCGCCAAGAAGCTGCAGCGCACCCTGCGCACGGGCAACAACGTGCCGTGCGAACGGCGGCCGGGCCGACCGCGCAAGGGCCCGCAGGGCGCCGCGGTGGGCGTGGGTACCGTATGCCTGCCTGCTCCGCCGCCGTCGCTGCCACCGAACTTGACGCCGTTTGGGAATCGTTGCGGTAAGCGGGGGGACAGGCTTGGCTTGACCAGCGTGCATAGCAGGTGTGAAAGGCTTTGGACCAAGGCGATGGGCAGCAGAGGCGAGTGCAGCAAAATTCATTGTTGTACTGTACTGCTAGCGAACCTATGATCCCCGCCTTCATCAACCCACACTGACCTGCGCGGTGAATTACGGTTAAACAACCCACGCAACCCACATTGGCATGGGGTGGTCCTGATCCAGCAGTGCATTGACTAAAGGAGGCTCCTCGTGTGTACGCGCACACACACACACACTTTTCTGTTTAAATAACACCTGCCGGGGCCCGGAAAGCAACAGTTGTTGGTGTTCCTGCCTTTCAGGTTCACTGAGCGTGGGATCACACGGCGAGGCAGGGAGGGCGGTGGCCCCTGCGGAGGAGCCCTCCAAACCGCCGAGCGGTGCCTACACAGGGCGGCCGCTGCGTGTCTCCCGCACCCACAGGCCCGACCCCGTGAGCGACGCCATCGAGTCGGTAGTGCAGAATGGCCCCGAACGGCCGAGACCCGCTGTCCCAAGGCAGCGGCGACGGCGGAGGCCTCAAAGCCCGAGGAAGCGGCGCCAGTGGCGGGCGCGGGCCGCCGCTAGGGGCCAGCGACACCGCCCGGAGGAGTCGGAAGGGCGGCACAAGCGGCCCGAATCCCAACAGGAGCCGCAGGACGGGCCGGAGTTACCGGAGGTGGGGGGGCGGCCCCAGTGGCCGAAGGGGGCCGAGGGGCGGCCGCCCCGGCCCGAAGCGCCGGAGGGGCGGACAGAGCGAACGGACGCGATGGACGAGCGAACCGGGCGGCCGGACGCCAAGGAAGGGAGGTCGAAACGGCCAGACTCAGCGGACGGGCGGCTGCGCTGGCCTGAAGTGGCAGAGAGGCGGCCAGCGCGGCCAGATCGGCCCACACGGCCAGATCGGCCCGTGCGTCCAGATCGGCCCGCACCCACGGAGGGGCGCTTCAGACGGACAGAGGCTGCCCTGTTGGGCCTGCATGAGGAAGTTACTGGTAGCCGCCGGCAGCGACAACAGCAGCGACAGCAGGAGCAGCAGCAGCAACAACAGCAGCAGCAACAACAGCAGCAACAGCAGCAGCAACAACAGCAGCAGCAACAGCAGCAGCAACAGCAGCAGCAGCAGAACAGGAGTCAGAAGCGGAGGCGGGCAGCCTCTGAGACGCCGTGCGACGGCGACCAAGAGCAGAGGAGCAAGAAGGCGACGCTGGAAAGGTCGGGTGTGGAGGAGTCCAGGTGATGCCACAGTACACACAGGCGAAGTTTTAGGCCTGTTGCAACGCATTCATTTTGCTGATTTAAATGGGTTCTACGCTATGTGCGTCGTATTCTGCGCATGACAGTTGATTGCTTATAATTATGTGAAATTGCATGCAAATGTTTTGCCGTTGCCAAAGTTAGGCTAAGCTGTATATAAATGCAGACAAAAGGAAGAATCCATTTGCAGATGACAATAGTTGGTGGGCACTTACGAATAAGAGGGGTTTGGCCGTCTGTATATCTATATTTCTATTGCACCACACCAGCTGCAGCCAGACCGCCAGCACAGAGGCAGAGGGCACCCAGAACCGAACCCCGTGCCCCGCGGCCTCGTCTCCCTCGACGACCACCGTAGCACCAGCGCCCCCCGCCCAGTCCCAGGATGAGCAGCGGGCGGCGCCGGAGGCCCCAGGTGACCAGAGGGAGGAGCACAACGAGGGCGAGTTGCCGCCGCCGCCACCAGCGGCGGCATTGATCGCCCCGACGGCAGAAGCAGCACAAGCCCCAGCTCCAGCCAAGGAGAAGAAGCCTCATCGACCGCCCAAGAAAAAACATCAGAAGGCCGGGCTCTACTCCGATACCTACAAGGACCCCAAGTAAGGGCGGCAGTATCAAGATGGCACTCGCAGTCTGCGAAATCCTTCACAGATTTGTCTACCTCTCATCTCACTCCACTCTCCACAACGCACTCTCCTGCCTCTCCCCTCTCAACCCACTCTACTCCCCTCCACACACTCTCCTGCCTCTCCCCTCTCATCTCACTCTACTCCCCTCCACGCACTCTCCTACCTCTCCCCTCTCACTCTACTCCCCTCCACGCACTCTCCTACCTCTCTCCTCTCATCTCACTCTACTCCCCTCCACTCACGCTCCTGCCTTTCCCCTCTCATCTCACTCTACTCCCCTCCACACACACTCCTACCTCTCTCCTCTCATCTCACTCTACTCCCCTCCACTCACACTCCTGCCTCTCCCCTCTCATCTCACGCTACTCCCCTCCACACACACTCCTGTCTCTCCCCTCTCATCTCACTCTACTCCCCTCCACGCACTCTCCTACCTCTCCCCTCTCATCTCACTCTACTCCCCTCCACGCACTCTCCTTACTCTCCCCTCTCATCTCACTCTACTCTCCTTCACACGTGTTCTCCTGTCTGCCCTGTCTCATTTAACTCGTACAGAATTGCGAATATGAAGAGTAGAGTTCTACTTTTACCCGATGTACAAAATTAAATATTTCAGACACGTGGCTCGGCATGACGGGGAAAACCTGGGGAAACTTGTTGGTGTTTGGTATAGTGGTAGGAAAAAGCAACCAAGGTAGACAGAGACCAAGATGGGCAGACAGATTGTATTATAAATAAAATCAGAAAACCAGTTAATACCATTGTTATATAGCAAGGCCCAAAATCGGCAACAGAGAAGGATCCTCGTCATCAATGGAAGTCTCGAATGCTCAGTAAATGAACGACCAATGTAAGCTCACGCTCTCGTAACCGCTGCGCGTCATATTTTTTTCCCCCTCTGCAGCGTCAAAAGCCGGCTGAGCTTATCCAAGAAGGAGAAGCTGGAGTACGTTCCTGGAGAGCACGACCACAGCCTCCTGCCAGCGCCCATCCACGTTGGTGAGCAATCGCCCCGGGTGGGAGTACGGGGGGGGGGGGGCGGCAATGATTCACACTGGTCTGGAAGGCTAACTCGCACTTGTATCGTCCGTGACATCACGTAATGTCTTTTTTCATGCAATAACGCTCTTTGCACTGAACAGGGCCTCATCGTGAAGGTGCATTTTGCTCTTGCCCTTTAATAGCTGGTAACCCAGCAGCAGCTGCATTTCTTTCACAAGCTTGAATAGTTACTGATTTGTAATTGTCTCGCGTACGTGCATCACAGCACCTGGAATGTGTGCATTCCACCTCGGCAGATCTGGGAAGTTGAGTAGGGACTGTGAGCCCCTTGCAGAGAGTGCGCGAACAGGCGACCGTCAGGCATCGCAGGTGTTATAAGCTGCAGCAGTGTGGTTGGAGGGGTTTATGGGGGTTATGTGTTGTGCAGCAGAAAGCAGCACGGCAACATCCATTGTTGTACTCTTAATTGAATGCTCCCCACCTTCACCAATGCTAACGAAACCGGCGTAATGAAGTCCGGTGAGATAACCCCCGATGGCCCGCAAGGTGTGGGGGAGGCCCTCGTCCAGCAGTGGATTAATGAAAGGCCTGTACATGTGTGGAGGCGTATCAGTAAATTTTTCCGTGAAATATATCAAAATCAAAGTGGCATACCTGTCAACCCCTTATGAGTGCCGACCTTATTATAGACCAATTCACATCTTATTGGTCACCCCGTGCCCCTTATAAATCTCAACGGTCTTCCTACAAAGTGCCATCGCAAAAAAACAAATAGACGAAAAAAATTTGGCCGTATGAAATGGCTGTACGCCTGAAAGCTCAATTTCACTGTACAATAATCTGGGGTAAACCGTTGTGGGTTGACAGGTACGAAGCGGGGTACCTGCTCAAAAGACCTCGGGGGGGGGGGGGGGGGGGGGGGGGGGGGGGATGGGGTGTGTACATGTCTACGGCTGTCGTCCGCTGGTAGTTCAATAATTATATTTATATGAATTACTGCAGTCACGAAAGCTTTAAATGAAAAGTTCAATAATTGTTTGCAATTCTTATCAGGACATGGGATGTAGTGCAGAAAGACCATTTTGAGTTTCTTATGGCTGGCATCAGTGTCCGTATCAGGGGCAGGTTCATCCATAAGACAACCGTTGCTTGCACGATAATGCACGTCTATTTTATTTCGATAACTGCGCTACCGCAAACCATGCAATCGATCAAAAGGACGAGTCTCATTGAATCCCTCCGCCGAGTTGCGAAGCGCAGCACGCGGTCGTCGTTCGACTGTAAGGAAAAAGAGAGAGAGAGAGAGCCCTTTGCCGAATATATTTTAATAAATAAACGGGGAACCGTGGCACGGAGCTAAAATAAAAACCACACGGTAAACATTCCAAGTGTAATTACAGTGCGCACGCACACGTGTGTGTGTGTGTGTGTGCGGTGTGTGCGGCGGCTGGCCGAGAGGCCGAGCGGGCAAATGAGAAGCAGATGGAATGCGGGCGCCATCCCAGGCAGGCCTCTGGGATGTTTAAGACCTTCAAAAACAAAAAAAATATCCGGTTCACATACATTTATATTTATTTTTTTGTCATGCACACGGCTCCCAAATATTTTTTGGTTGGAATTTTTATTTATTTATTTTGTCCCACCTCTCCTTCCTGTGCGTTGTGGGACAATGGTGGGGTCCTGAGATTTTGTTTTTAGTATATATTTATATAATATTTCTATAATTATTATTATTTGGAAATTTCCATCATTGGGCTGCTTGGCACAGCTGCCAACGGCACAGTCATTCGCTCGGTCGTCACTCGACCATGGCAAGAGGCGGTAGGGTGGTGGGGGGGGGGGGTTTGGCTGGTGATGGGAGAGTTGGCGGGCGAACGGTGGAAGAGAAGAGAGGGGCGTCTTGTTGGCTCGGAGAGACCTGTTTTCTCAGCCTCGTTTAATCTCCGATTTCACGAGCCGCCCAGCAGGCGAGCGTCGGGGCCCGGCCGCCATCGCCGTCCCGCTTAGCGCGACAAAAACCGGCCTTTTGTGCACACTCGCGTCTCTCCGCGGAGGGAGGCACGGGCGCGCACGCGCCACCATTTTGCGGCTCGCCGTATTATTTTAACCTTCGCATACTGTCTTGCAATTCCGCCACGAAAATAATCTAATGGCTTGACGGTCGGCAAAGGCTACCATTTGTGGACGCCTATCCTTTCACCCTTGACAATATGCTTGGCTTCAGTCTCTTTGACGGTGCCTACCCGCCGCCACCACCCCCGCTTTGAACGTCAAAATGGACCGGTCCAAATCATGGAGCACCTGCTGTTCTTGTTGTTGCACGACAGGTGTGGGCGACGTGGCTATGAAAGGCCCGTTTTGTGAAGAGGGTCGGATAGACATTGGCTGAGGTCGGTTGCGGGGAGAGGTTGACTTATTCTTGTCTTCAGTTAAAAGTCAGTTTTGCGGCCAATTACCGCTGTGCAGAGAGCCAATCATTCAGTGTTGAGGCCAAATTTGTTAACCCAGGTCTCCTTTGACAAATGGATATTTGTTATAATAATGAATGGATCCATCCACCGTTGGATAAAGGCCTCCACGTGTCATGTAATTTGTGGGGATTTTTTTTACCATACTTCACCACACTGGTCAACATAAGTTGGTGAAAGGGAGGGGGCGGGGATCAATGACCCATGGGCAGCAATCGAGCTCAGGCCACCTGGTTCATGTGCTACACCATTGTGCCACCGCTCCCCCATTGAAACGGTTATCGGATAATTAACTTTTTTGACCATGAAGGAACTTGGTTGGTGGAGAAGGCCAAGGGGATGGTCGCACAACTCCTCTGAGTGCAATGGTGTGAGTCCCTGTCAAGAAGAGTGAGGGATAGGAGGGGAGAGCTCCCTTGGGTGTTGTGGGTGTCAGGAGAGATCCCTTGGGTTGGTGTCAGAAGGTGGAAGTTGCTCCGCACTCTTTAGCCATGCGTCTGTGTGTGTCCGTGTGTGTGTATCTCCGTGTCTGTGTGTGTATCCCAATGTCTCTGTGTCTTTGTGTGTCTCTCCGGGTGTGTATGTCTGTGTGTGTACCTCCGTATCTTCGTGTCTGCTTGTGTCTATGTGTGTATCTCCGTGTGTGTCTGTGTGTGTATATCTGTGTCTGTATGTGGCTTTGTATCTCCGTGTGTGTGCCCGTACTCGACCTGATTGGGCACGTAAAGAGATGTGCACCGCTGAAGTTTCTCTTCGCAGCCACTGACTCGCGCCATTCTCGTAGTCGTAGTCAATTAATTGTTTCCTGGGGATCCACCTCCCCAGAAAATCCACAACTAAAAAGATTGCTCTGACACTTTATTTATAAGATCTAGTAAAGAAACGTGCACTCCTGAGGTTTCGCAACCTTGTGTTGTACTGTTTATTTATCCGGCAACGCGGAGAGGCGGTGCGACTCGCGGCGTGCTGATGCGTCCTCCCTGTCTGTCCGTCTCCTGCGTCGTGCAGGGAAATATCTCCGCCAGAAGAGGATTGACTTCCAGCTCTCATACGACATCCTGTGGCAGTGGAAACACAATCAGGTGAGCGTCGGCCGTGCGAGGAACCACTCGACTTGGAGAAGCCAAGGGAGCTCTTCTCTGGTAGCTCCACTCTTGGGGTTTTTGCGTGTCCACCCACGTGAGCTTTAATCGTTTTTTACAGACAAACTAAAAAAAAATAATTACGGCTCATTGTTGCTCTGGCAACAGCAACGTCGTTGACGTCATCGCGGTGAAATTTACGAGATATGGCGGTCGTCCCACGATGATGTGGAACTTTTAAATGCTGTTATTGCGATAATGAAACTTAAAAATCAAGTTGAACAGCCCAGGTAAACATCTACAAGACGAGGGCTGTAGGTATTTCTGGGTTTCATATTACTTTAAACTTGCTACTCTCCATGTGTCTTGTGGCTATCTGTTTGTTTTACATGTCTGGGGTGTTTTACCATAATGATTATGACCCTTTATTTGTGAAATTTGTATTGAGTCTCACTATGAATAGGTGAAAGAGCAAGAGTTACTTCCTAAGTAGGCACTTAACCACGTAATGATTTGATTCTCATTTGTTCCATCTGGTTTGTTCTGGCTTGTTTGTTTGTTCTATCATGCTTTGTTCCATGAGACTAAACAATATTTCATAATTCACCCCCCAACTCTGTCTGCTCTGCGGTATGAATGGGAACGCCACGGTCGATGCGGTGGAATTAGGTGTGGGTACTCCCACCCCTTCTAAGACCTCTAAGCCAGCCGTTTGACCAACAGTGGCCTTGAGCAAGCAATTGCGAGGCTGCGTGCAAAAGTCATACATTCTTAAAGAGTGCAACAGACCCGGCGACGCACAATAATGCACCGTCTTGTCTTGGAGTCTCAATAGCTTGGGGATCCAACGAGACTTGCAGGCATCAGGTGGCTCTCGCTGCCGTGATTGACCGCTAACGAGCGGGAGGCGAAGCGCTCGTGATTTAGTGAGTGTGTGGGCGTGCGCTTTGTGCCGTCTCGGTCACTGCGGCGGGGTCGGTCAGCGCGGGTGCTTGCTTGGGGTGCTTGGCTGCGTGGGTGAATGAGCGAGTTGGCGAATGAGAGTGAGCGTTTTGGGAAGCTGGGTGGGTGGGGTGAACGGCTGGATGACTGAGCGAGTGAGCGAGTGGGTGGGTTTTGGAGATAAGCTTGGGTCGTTTCATACTCACCAGGCCACTGCGGGGAGTGGTGGCGGTGATTCACCGCAGCCCTGGGGCGTTGCGGGCGGGAGAGCAAGCGAGAGAGGAGTCCAGCCGGCATTACGAGCGTTAAAAAAAAAGTCTCTTAGTCTCCCTGCCACCTCTCTGAGTGAAAGCCTATCGCTGGTGGCTGGGGGGGGGGGAGGGCTCTAGAGGCAGGCTAGCAGGATTTAGGGCCACGTCTGGGCAGGGGGGAAAGTAAAACTCGCCATGATTTACGGCGACCAATGCTCTCTGCTTTAAGTCCCGGGACACGGTGTTTCCGGTGACCTGTGGCCAGAGCTCGGCTTGGCTGGCGGTGATGTGGCCTCGCAGCGGCGCGTTTCGACAATTTGCTGCGGAGCTCCGCGGTTAGAATCTGGTGGCCGCCCTGGTTATTGCCGCTGGTGTAACAACCGTGATGATAACGGGCGGTCCTCCGGTTCACGTTAAGACGTGAACCGTGACGTCCTTTTGCGAGAGTAGGCCATCAGGTTCCAGCGTTGGGATCCAAATTTGCCAATTCTAAAATTACCAATTTGGCACATCGATAGCAACATCTTCACGTATTGCCAAAACTTGGCAGGGCCCTCCTGGGTAGAAAAAAAATATATCGACACTCGTTGAGGCTTTCCATGGGTAAACAAGGCTGATAATAATGGTATAGATGATAGGAAGTACAAATGTGCAAACCAGCAACAATGAGACTTTGCAAAGCAAATGGACGTATGAGAAAGGCAGTAAAGAAGAGACGAACGGTACGATTGAGATGGACAGAACGAGCGGAATAAAAAAGGATCGATTCTGGAATCTAATCCTGACAACAACAACTCATCGTCGTATCACACTGGGACGAGTTGTTGCACGCCGCTTAGCGGTCCCGGTGATTGACATTAAACTTTAAAGCCCTTCACCCCACAAAGCCATGCTTTACCCATTTTGCATTTCGTGCAACTGAACATCCAACGCGGTGGAAGAGAGAGGCACTCCACGCAAATGTAAACACTGCAATCTGGCACATCTGCGTCGAGCCTCGAGTGGGAATGGATTAGATTTTGCCATAAAAGACACGGTTGAAAGGAGAGGTGGGGAGCGGGGTGGACGTTGTGGTGGTGGGGGGGGGCTACTTAGCTGAGCCGGATGCGGCGAGGAGGTGGGGGGGGGCTGCGTGATTGCTGCAGGGGAAGGGGCGTGCGTGCAGGGGTGGGTGGGTGGCATCTCTCTTCCTCTGGTTTTTTTTTTTACGTGAAATTCCCCATAGCGCGGATGTGACGCGGAACTTCTCTCGCCTCAATGAAGGGGGCCTTTCCTCAAGCTGGTTTTTATTTTTGTTGCTATAGGTCTCGTTGAAGCGGAAGTTTGCACACCAGCGCAGACGTTTGCGCTGTGGGGTTTTTTTTTGTTGCCGTACGTATGAATCGATGAACGGTGACATGTAGACGCGTCCATCTTGAAAAGACTTAGCCAGCGGATGGTTTCATTTTGGGGGGTGTGCGCGTTCGGCTCGCGGTCATAAAGGATCACTGGAGCCTCTGCGCTGTGTTTTCGAGAGTTTGTTACAGCGCCTCCACCGTCCGGCATGATGGCCGACTGTTTTCGCTTTGACGTGCGGGGGAGCGTTTCGGCAATACCGCGTTGGACGTCGGCTCAGTCCATCCTCTCCCTTAGCTGACTTTATAAAGCGAGCACCACTTTCGGTCACGTGAAAAAAAAACGCCAGCCCCCCCACCAGAAGAAATATGGAATTTCGACCTAGCCGCCAAGGGAGATGAACACCCCACCCCACACCCGTGTGAGCAGACACGCTCAGCCTTGTTGGTTTCGCAACAGTGGAATAAAATATCCCGCGACGAATGGTGCACCACAGCTTCCCACGAGCTTCCTCAAAGTTCAGATCTTTGCTTTCCCTTCAGTGTCGGGCATCGATCACGCGGGAGTGAGTCGAGCGACTCTAATCGTATCAAACACCACGCAACCGTCGGACGCTTTTGTGGCCATGCCGCACAGCTCTCTGATGCGCGTTCGGGGTTTGTGCCACGCGCTGTGCATGCACGATGCCCGACGATTTTGCTCCATGTCCTCCTGCGACCTTTCTTTAGGAACTGAATTGAGCCCGGTTCAGTTCCTGAAGACGCCTGCTGGCACGCGGAGCGAAACGTCCGTCGTTGTGCCCAACAAAACGCGGCGTAACACCCCCCCTCCTCCCCCCCCCCCCCCCCGCCTTGAAAAACGCATCGGGATGGATGAGGCACGCTACGACGGCGCTGTCGCCCCTACTGAACGGCGCAGACGCCGGTGAAAGCGCCCCGTCCCCCTTTTGCGGTAGTCCCCGACGCCGCGATGTAGCGGCAGAGGCCCCCTGGGAATCGCGACAAGGCCCTGTCGTCTGCGCATGGGAAGTGGCTCGCCGGCGGGGCCACAGGGCGCGTGAATATTGTTTTGCTCTATAAGCCCCGAGAGATGCGGGTTTTCATCGACCGGCCAGACTGCCCTTCCCTCCCGCCTCTCCCGGCCATCTGGTGCCCCGGCCACACACACCGCCATTCCTTAAATAATTCAGCGCGGTATTAGTTGTCTGTTTTGCCGCCAGGCTGCGCGGTTCAAGCGCGGGGCAGGGTTGTTTTTCCTGCCGCCACCACCCCCTGCCCCACCCTCCCCGTGGTCGCCGCCGCCGCCGCCGCGCACAATTCATGAATCTCAGCCGTTGTCGGTGAAAATTGTCCGTGTGCGCTGCGCGTGCGTGCGTGCGGGTGCTTATTTGTTTTGCATTATCATTTTGATGGAAAAGGAATCGGGCATGCACTGAAAAAGCAAAGAACTAAATATATGAATATTATTATGCGTAAATAGGGATGGAGCAGTGGTGCTGTGTGAACCTGCCGACGTAGGTTCGATTCCCAACCGTGACTCATGTCAGGGGCGAGCGGTGTTTGGACTGGTCCCGCAACAATCCGTACTTACCAGCATACGATCAAACAACCGCCACGACTAACACGGTGTGGAGAGTCCTTCATTCAGCGGTGGATATATACAGGGCTCTAAATAAATAGTACGTGAATAACAATTCGCCTTTTTCATGCTTCTAAGTTTAATTTTCTTTTGTTTTGATGGCAGCTCTACAAGAAGCCGGATGTCCCACTCTACAAGAGGATTCGCTCCAGTGAGTTAACGCGCATTGTCATGGTCAAATGTTCGTGTGCCTGGCATGCCCAGCGCAGGAATTCTCCCGCGCCAGGTACTGACCAGGCTCGGTAGCCCCCCTTAAGCCACCACTCGTGTTGCCGATGGCGGCGACGATGACGACGTTGGTGATGACGTGGTAACAGCTGGCCGCCTTGCACGCTCCACAGATGTGCACGTGGACGTGAAGCCCCTGTCGGGCTGCGAGCCGACGACGTGCAACTGCAAGATGCCCGAGGCCGAGGTCGGAGCCATCCGCTCGCGCAACGGCTGCGTCGAAGACTGCCTCAACAGGTGCTTATAGCAGGGGGCAGCAATGCCGGCCCGGGGGCAGTCCTAGTGGGGATGGGCAGTGGGGGTGGGGAGCAGTCTGGGTTGCTGTGGGCAGTGTGTGGCCGACATGGGTGTCCTGGAAAGAGACGGGCGCCTTGCCCAGGGGGGTTAACAGTGGAGATCTGTGGGAACGGCGGGACCTGGTGATGCATGGGTAACGTGAGAAACCGGTAGAGATGGTAGGAGCAGCTGGGAAAGGCGTGGGGAATTGGAGGATGGCAGCAGCAAAGTTGGTGAGGGGGAGTGGAGGGATCTGGGATGAGTAGGGATATTGGGTAGCCGGATTAGTGTTGTCATTGTTCTCAGCCTGTAACTTGCTATTGCTGAGCAACGGCCTACCTCCATTCCGTAGTTCTCCCGGTCCAGTCGTGGCCTTTGAGTTGTTTGACTTCGTCTCGCAATCTCTTGCGCTGTCGATGCACTCGGTAGTTAATTTAGTGAAGTGTGGTCAAACCTCATAACTGACATGAGATGGGGGGGTCTTGGTCCGGCAGTGGATTGAATTACAAAGGGGCTGTATACAGTTGAACCTTATGGCGGGACCCCGTGGTCCCGAATAAACGGAAGTCAAAATCGTAATTAAATTTATTTATTTTTTTGGCGACTCCGTCCCACCGCGCACATAATCGCCGCGACCCACCTGGCGCGGATCATTCTGTTGTCATGTCGTCCAAGTGCAGCGAGGACGAATGCGCAGAAGAAACAAAACTTTGTTCAGCGCATCGCGTAGAGCTCGTCGAGAGGAATAGATCGTCGTATCGTTCGCCTTCAACAGACATAAAATGACGTCGCAACGCAGTTTATGCGAGAGCTGTGGGGCTTATGGGAACCCCCAGGGTTCCGCCATAAGGTTCAGTTGATCAGCGATTAATTATCCATCGTGTGACTATCCGGCATTCAAGATTATCCAGCCGTCCCGGGCCGATGTTTATTTATACCTATTTCCTCTAGTGAACAAATGTAAAACACTGAAAAAAACACATACACAACACATGTTATACAAGAATGTGCAAAAATAAGCAGTTTTTAATAATGTCATCCGGCGTTTTTGATAATCCGGCTCCCCCTTCCCGCCGGATAATTATCGATCGCTGTATTTGCATTAAACAATTATTATTACGATGCTGATTTCTACCACCGGCTGGTTGTTGGTTTGTTGGTTAGTTTAATGAGTCATGCAGCGGGTCAGTTAGTTAGTCGGTCGGTTAATTAGTTGGTGGGTCGACTGGCGGGCCGGTCGTCCGGCTGTTGGGTTGTTGTTTCGCAGGATGATCTTCGCCGAGTGCTCTCAGGGCACGTGCCCGACCAGGGACCAGTGCAGCAACCAGCGCATCCAGCGGCACGAGTGGGTGCAGTGCCTCGAACGCTTCCGCACTCACGGCAAGGGCTGGGGCATCCGCACCAAGGAGAGCCTCCGTGAGGGCCAGTTCATCATCGAGTACCTGGGGGAGGTGGTCACGGAGAACACCTTCCGGTGAGACGCGCGCACGCGCGCACGCACGCTTGCAGAACGGCACAGAAACGCATCAGAGAGCTTTTTGGTTGGAGGTGGCTCGTCGTGCACTGCCCTACGAACTCGGCGACCTGTGTTCAATCCCCTTTCGCGGCCTGCATCCGTGGCGCCCATATCTGGACCTCTCCAACGTACTTGAGTAGCTGGTGTGGTTCGTAAACATTGGCACTGGGGAGACGGAGTCGGGCGAGTGTGGGCCCTGGCCACACAACGCCTCCATGCACCGTGCCAGCAATTATCGGTGCATGCTATACGGAGGATAGTTGTGCGTATGGTTAAGGCGTGTAACGATCCATTGATTAATTTTGATCAATAAGCTCCACGATACTCGCAGTGAATATTTTGTTGAAGGATCAATCGGTGTCGGTTGCACTGTGTTTTTTTGGTCGCGAAGGATCCGTAGTCTTGTAGGTGGCCCCTGCTTTGCTTCTGCGATCAGATGGCACCGAGGATGCAAGGTGATTGGGTCATCAGTCGCAATTTGTGAAGGATATGGGTTGCTTTAAAGTGCCTTTGAGTGGTTTTGTGACAAAAGGCAACGGTATGAATGTGATTATTTTAATATATTATTATTGTTACTATAATGTGAAAGAACGTTAGTGGTTTTCTCTGGTTTATTAGTTTTATTTAAAGCACATTTTCAATATGTTGTGGATAATCCAGCAATAAAGCAGTGGGAACGCATGAAAAACAATAAAGTGTGAGTCCCTGTGGTATTGTTTTTCTCGGTTGGTGTTGGGTTTAAAAGGAGGCAGTTCATGTGAAGGCATTGGGACTTGAGGATTATTTAATTTGATCTGGCAACCCACATACGCACACACGCGCGCGCGCACGTGCTCTCAGCCACGCTTTTCACTCTCGCACACACACATGCCCCACACTCTTGCACACTGACCCACTTACGCCCCATATCGACACACTTATCCACCCACATGCCAACCACGAAGCCACCCACACGCGCACGCATCGGCTAACAGCATGCATGCTTCCACGTGTGTGGTGGGTTCAAGCACAAATTTCCAGGACCCATTTGGCGCTCGCCTAAGCCCATTACGACATCGTTGTCGGCTACAATCGTGATCAGTAGTAATGATGTCATGCTAACCGTTGCAGCATGTTTTACAGATACGGAAAAATCGGTTGTAAAAATGTATAGCACCTCTACAACATTAGACAATTAATGTATAAGACAGTTACTTTTTAATGTAGTGAAAATTATTCGCAACGTTCAACATACACGAATCGGAAAACCTTTGTTCTAAATCGCACCACAATAAAAAAAAAATCTGATTTGAAAATTCTCATTAAAGACGAACATCGTGACACCTCTAGGAGGTACAAACACACAAGCCCTCTTCCCCTCTGCTGACAGCGGAGCAATGTCTCGACGGTGACCTCTGACCTTCAGCCCTTGCGACCCCCCCCCCCCCATGTCTGACCCGGCGTCCCCAATTCCTAACCTCCCCCCGCACCCACGCCGCGCCTGCCTGGCCCGTGCTGAGCCAAACAATATCCTTCCCCCCCCATTCCCGCCTCTTTGTCTGTCTGTCCGCAGGAACCGCATGATTGAGCAATACCAGAACCACAGTGACCACTATTGCCTGAACCTCGACAGCGGCATGGTCATCGACAGCTACCGCATGGGCAACGAGGCGCGCTTCGTGAACCACAGCTGCCAGCCCAACTGCGAGATGCAGAAGTGGTAGGCGCCGCCAGCACGTCGGGACGCGCGGACGGCCACGTTAGCGCCCCCCGCAGGGATTGGTCGCAACCGCCCTACCAACGCAGTGTGTCATCAATAACGTGTTGTGTGTTTGTAGTTTTATCGACCTCGCTCCACCTGCCGTCTAAATAGAATTCTCTTAATATTGGGGTGACATGTTTGCACGTATATATTTTGCGAACTTCTTTCGCACCATACGTAGCCAACCGAACGAATCGGGAGACGCTGGGCGTGGGGGGGGGAGGGAAGGACAAGAAACCAAACACAAAAAAACGTGCCGCCGTAATACGTTGACACGGCCGCGTGGCCAGGGGGTGGCTCCCTGCAGGGGACGCGTGGCCCGCGGCACAGACGCCACGTGGGAAACATGTTTGGAATGTGTACCGGGGAATGTCGGCACCGCGTTGTGACGACAAATCATTCTTAATACACAACGTGAATGTGTAACGCCTTGCTGAACACCGCGTTTGCTGGAGGCATGAACATGGTAACCTTGCGTTCATTCACGACGTTTCGGAGGGCAACACAAGCTTCCTTCATCAGGCGTAAAAAGCACAGCAAAATTACTGTACGCTCTACAGTGATTTTGCTATAGTCTTTGGTTCTATTCGGTAAAGTCACATAGGTAAAAAATAAAACAACAAAATCACGACGTTTCAGCCACAACACAAGCGGCCTTCATCATTGTGTTGTGGCCGAAACGTCGTGATTATTTATTTATTTTTTACCTACGTGACTTTACCGAATAGAACCAAAGTGTATGGATCCTTGCAGTCACGAAAGCTTCAAATCTAGAAGTAATTTTGCTCTCTACAGTAATTTTGCCGTGCTTTTTACACCTGATGAAGGAAGCTTGTGTTGCCTCCGAAACGTCGTGATTTAATTTAGTTGCTTTCATGTGTTTTATTTAATTTAGTATTTATTTTTTAACTAAGTGACTTTACCGAAAGAACCAAAGAGTATGGATCCTTGCAGTCACGAAAAACTTTAAATCTAGAATTAACCTTGTGTTATTGAAGCTCGCGGGGTGTTTGGGGGGGGGGGTGCCATACCACTGAGTTTTCGGCAAGAGCGGAGAGTGCTCGGGGGGAAGTGGCACACGCTGCGCCGTTGTGTTGATTTCGGGTCGCGATGTAACGGTCTCCCCCTGCCCTTATCCCTTCCACAGGTCCGTGAACGGCGTGTACAAGATCGGCCTGTTCGCTCTGACCGATATTCCGGCCGCCACGGAGCTCACATACGACTACAACTTCCACGCCTTCAACCTGGAGAAGCAGGTCAGGCCCCTCCCTCCCTCCAACAAGAATCGGGGACGTTTTTGGTGAAACATAACTCGCATATGCACTGAAAATGTATCTTTTTTTTCTTTTCTCTTAATCGTCACAAGTCATCAAACCAATGGGGGGCGGGCTGCTGAAACGTCACATGCTTCATAATAATAATAATTGGTCATAATTAACATTTATTTGTAAGGCGCCTCGCACTATTATCTCGAGACGCCTGCGTGAGTCTGTGGATCGCATGTTTTTCCAGTCCAGGCCGCTGTGGCCCCCATAATATTTTCAGGGTGGATTAAAACAAGTGTGTAACGCTTTTGGGGCAGTGGATGAACAATAGCAATGCGGAGTTTCCACCACTGACTCGGGACCATCCAATGGCGGAGCCAGGATTTTCAGGTGGGGGGGGGCGGGGAGGGCGCAACCCCTCCAGCAATGAAGAATGATAGAGGAGTTGTTAGTAGGTAAGGACTTGTCCCCTTAATATTCGACGCGTGTGCGACGATGGCACAGCCATCGATCGAGGGTCGAATTCGAGCTATGTGTGATCGGCATCGCGCTCGCTGAAGGTGAATGCCTTCAGGGAAGTCGTGTACTGTATACGCAACTGCGCACAATTTTGTGAGTCGCTTCTAACTGCTTTGCCGTTACTTAGTGCCAATTATGGACTCAGACTATTGTCCTATCATCTCATAGAGTCCCTGGCACATAATAATAAGCTACACAGTGGCAGTGGGGGGTCGCAAAATGCCGATTTATTACTAATAAACCCCAATGATCCGATCGAAATTCTGAATTTTGATCGGATCATTGGGGGGGGGGGGCCCGTGCCACCCCCCTCCCCCCCACCTGCTCCGCCAGTGGGACCATCGACAGCGATGAGCATCGCCCCCATGCTGTTAGAAGCTTTTGAAGAGGCTTAGATTTTGAATATAGAATTCAGATTTTTCAACACGTGATCTTGCCTTGGTTCGTTGTACGGGAGTACTCTGTGTACAACCCATTTGTTGTCAGCCCACTAATTAATAAGTGTGCGGAGGGCCTATGCAGGTCCCTGGATACTATCTAACCCTAGTAATTCTGCTTGATTTTATGACGTATATTGTAGTGTGTAGGGCCGATTTTAATATTCATATATATGGATGGTTCCTATTGTCGTATACAGAAGATATGTAAGTCCGTGGGTCGTATTATAGGCAATGTATCATGTCTAAGTCTATGGATCCGATTATAGTCAATGGGTTCAGCGTACATCTATGTCCTAAGGAGGCCTACAGGTTATATTTGTGCTGTTACACATTCTGTTGGTCTTATATTATCCTGTGGGTTATGTCGTAGTTTTTAGGGCCATCAGAAATATTTCTGTTCTGTGTGAGTCTGTGGATCCCATTTTAGGATCCTATGTAAGGCCTGTGTTTTCGATTGCAGTCCATGGGTCCTATTGTAAGTCTATGTTACATGTAAGTTGATGGGTGCTCTTGTAATCTCTGGGTCCCGTGTAAGCGCAGGGGTCGTGTGTAAGTATATGGTAAAATGTATTAAGTGTAATGTGTCGGGTCGTGGCATGTCGCCATCCCCACACGTGAGTCTGTATCGTCGCCAATCGTCCGCCGTGCTCCACTGAACACGCCCCGTGTATCGCTTCCGACAGCAAACGTGCAACTGCGGCTCGGAGGTTTGCCGCGGCATCATCGGTGGACGCAGCCAACGCCTCAACGGCGCGCTGGGTCGAGCTCCCGGTCGCGGCGACGGCGCCGGTGGAGGAGGTGGTGGCAGCGGCAACGGTGGCGGCGGGGGCGGCGGAGGTGGCGGCGGTGGCACCAAGAAGCACAGCAGCCGCCCCAAGCAGCGGCGCAAGTCGAAGCACCGTCTCAAGAAGCGCGTACGTGCTTTGGCGGCGTTTCGATCGGCAGCCGTGAAGAGCAAACCAAGACTGAAATGGGGGGGGGGGGGGGGGGGGGGTGCAGGGTGGAGAGCCGCAAATTGGGGCTAGGAATTTGGTTTTGGGGTAGGGATAGGGCCCAGAGGCTGGGGGGAAAGCATTCGGGTTCGTGGTTGCGGGAGTAGGACTGGTGTCTCGCTAGCGAGTGTGGTTAAGCTTGGGTGTTAGTGTTGGGGTGTGATTGGCTACTTTGGTTAAGTTAAACGGTAGCGCCGGTGTTTTTATGGCTCGTTTATTTATGGTTATGGCTAGTTTGGCAAGGCCAGTCAGTAATAGGCTTGTATGCTACGGTTAAGTTGGTGAGTTTGGTTAGGGTTATGCCATGCTCTAGTTTGCTTATGTGGTTTGGATCAGGGTGAGGGATATGGGCTGGTGGTTGCATGTTGTTATGGCTACGGCTAGGGTGTAGATCCCTCGTGTGATTGTGCTTTTGTCTAGCATGTGGTGTGCTTGTTTGTTTTAGGTTTGCGGTAGGACAAGTGCTTTATTGTCTTGTGTGGTCCCATGGTAGGGGGGCTCGTGGGTGGCTAATTTGCTCAGGGTCTGGGATAGTGCCAGGGGTGACGCACCCAAGGGTAATGAGCATAGCCATAACGTGATGCTCACTCATGGCGGATGGACGATGAGATGGTGGTGGTGATGACGGTGTGTGTGTGTGCGTGCGTGCGGCGCACAGAGGGGACAGGCATCCGAGGAGCCCACCCCGGCTGCAGCGATGCCTTCCAAGCCACCCCACCCCATCCACATGAAGCCCATGTCGCACAGGGAGAGGTGAGTCACGCCCAGGTACATTCAAGCTAAAATCACACCAGCCCCTCCTGGCAGAGGCTGGAACGTAACCGGCTCCGGCCGGCCATATCCCGTTGCAGAGATCCGATTCGCATGGATGGCTGCGTACGGTGCAAAAGAAGTTCAACGTACATACAAGGCGATCGATATGAAGGGTTTTTTTTGGGGTTAGATCGCGTAAATGTAAATGTCCTTAAACCCGCAACCACCCGACACAGCCAGTTAAGTTTGTCATGTAAACATTACGTGCCAATTAGTTACTACTTCAGCACACCGGTGCGTTGGAGAGTAAGCCCACAGCATTTACAATTTGAGTACTGTGACGTTTCGCTGGTGATTGCAAGTCTTCCTGTTTCGGTCTTAAATCGAGTTGTATTAAGGTGAGGTCATCACTGTGAGCCTATCAGGTCCGAAGACCAGAGGTAGGGAAGGGGGGGTTTAATGTTGCCAGAGTTATTTTGATCGCGAAAGCCCTCCGTGTTGATCGTACGTACATCCGCCCCTCCGCCTCTCTTACCGGCCGTCGTTGTCGTCGTCGTCCTCAATGTCACCGCAGAAACTTTGTGCTCAAGCACGGCGTGTTCCTCGTACGCAACTGGGAACGGATCTACCGGAGGCGCGAGGAGCACGGCGGCCCGGCCGGGAAGGACGCGACGCCGGCCGGGGCGGCGGCCGCGGCGGCGTACTCGCGCTGGAACGGCAGCCTGGCCCGCGACGACGGCAACATCAAGTCTGGTCGGTGCAAGCGAGCGCGAGCGTCCGCATTACGTCGCCGGCGCGTTTATGTCGTTGAGGGCCGCCACCGCTTGAAACTTTTTTTTTACGATGTGCTATGGAACAGCTCCGCCGAGTTGACGCAAGCGTCGCCCCCCCACCCCACCCCCCGCTTGGTCGCTTGCAGAGATACTGAGAGACACGTGAGGTCGGGGAACAAAATAAAATGTTACACTCCTCGTGGACTGCGAAAAAAAACGAGAACGTAAGCAAGGTCACGACCTCTGTGGAGATGGAGCCACTGGTACAATCACGAGCACCAATTGAGACATGAGATCGGCTCGTGTGCAAGATTTATTTGGATTGTGGCATCGTAGGACCGTCGGGGATGGCGGCGTGGAGGGAGGAGGGCCTCGGCATTAGATGGACCTCGGTTCGACGTTTCATGGATGTTGACTCGAGATACCGCTGCGAGGGTTTTCGCAGTTCCTCGCGTGGCTCTCCGACGCGCTTTTTCGGGCCGCGCACCGCGTGCTGTTCGTCGCGATGTCCGACGTTTCGCTCGGCGTGCTGCGGGCTTCTTCGGAGGCCTCTTCAGAGGCTCTCGCCAGCACGTGGAGCGGACAACATGTTGGACGACATGCCCGGAAAACAAACTCGCGGTACGACCCGAAAACGCGAACGGGAGAGCTGTCCGCTCGGTGAGACGACCGCGATGAAACGTGGGCGCCGTCGGCTGCTTGACACCTCCGACGAGCACGGCTGGCTACGTACACAGCGCGAACGAAGTTCAACGTGCATGCATACACGCGCGCATTAACCCCCGCGATCCTCCCCTCCGGGGGCCCCCCCCCCCCGCTTCTGCCGTCTCCCCCCCCCCAGACGTGTTCATGACGCAGTTCTCAGCGCTGCAGACGGCACGCTCGGTGCGCACGCGCCGGCTGGCGGCGGCGGAGGAGAACGCGGAGGTGGCTCGCACGGCGCGGCTCGCCCAGGTCTTCAAGGACATCTGCACGGTGGTCACCACGCTCAAGGGTGAGCCGTCCGCAGCTCGCGGTCCGAGGGACAGGACTCCGTTACGAGCGGGGGGGGGGGAAGTGCCGCACCGTTAATAATAATTAAAATGTATTAAGCGCCGTCAAAACAATCGTTGTCAGGGCTCTGTGCATGGAAAGGCGGAAAGTAGTTGACGACAAGCACGTAAGGAAGAAGTGAGAACGACGTTTGAAAATAACTAAAAGAGAGAGCCTCTTGCTCTCATATGAGCCACCGAAGCTGTGGCACTTTATAAAATCTAGGTTGAAAGCTCATTTTCTTTAGAAGTGCCTTGTTTTGTTTAGTTTGCCCCCACCCACGGTTGGATACATACGGTTGCAAAGTTGGTTCTCTGTGCGTGCATTAACGTGGGTATACGATAGCCGCTACGCGGTAACTTAATGCGCCAGTTTGAACATTGGTCGTCGGAGAATATTTCTAAAATGTAATGCTCGTCCGTCAGGCCCCGTGATGTTAACAAGCGCAGGCTGTAACTCTTTTTATCCACTCCGTCTCTCTGGCGCCTCTGTGTGCCAGGAAGAAGGCCCGCATCGTTATTGACGAGTGTGTTGAGTTTTCTGCTTTTTCGGTTCTTGCGTATCAGATGTGAAGCCATGAATTGGCCTATGACGGTATGACCCATAATGCGCCTAATCTCGTCATCCTTTGCCAGGTTTGAGCCTGGATAGTGCTTGGATAGGCGACCGCCACGCACAGACAGATTGTCATCGGGTACGGGGCAATGTTGTGGGCAGCAGATGGCAGTGCAGCTACATCCCTAGTTGTAAAGAAAATATATTTTTCAAATATATGATTCACACGCAATCCAATGCAGAAAGGTCAGCTGATGTCATTTCACACTTTGTTCTACTGCATTCTGCTGGCGAGGCAGGGTATTGCACTCCGAAAAAAAGAGTTCCGCAACATTTGAACCTTATGGTGGGACCCCGGGGTCCCGAATCAACGGAATTCAAAATCGTAATAAATGTATTTATTTTTTGGCGACTCCGTCCCACGGCGCACATAAACGCCGCGACCCACCTGGCACGGATCGTTCCGTTGTCATGTCGTCCAAGCGCAGCGAGGACGAATTGCGCAGAAGAACCAAAACTCGTCTCGAGAAATAGATCGCCGCATTGTTCGCCTTCAACAGACATAAAATGACGTCGCAACGCAGTTTACGTGAGAGCCCGGGGGCTTATGGGACCCCGGGGTCCCGCCATGAGGTTCATTTGTACGATCCACAAACCCTCTCTGCTGCCTCCTTCCGCGGTCGTGGATTTACAGTCGTGTGCCACCGCTGTACATCTTCGATTCCACGTCTATGCCCCCCCCCCGCCCCGTCCTTCATCAACCCCTCCCCTCCTTTGACCAGCGTGGTGAAGTATGGTCAAATAACCCTCTTGACCTGCATTTGCTTGGGGGGGAGGCCCTTTCATCCAGCCGATTATTCGCAGCAGGGGCTGTACGTGATCAATTGTGCATTGATTAATTAATTGATATTGGTTCTTAATGCTCACGATGCGTGCATGGAATTGTGCGTGCAAGTTTCGGGGACTGTTTGTGCAAATATAAATGTATGTATGCGAATGTTACATTTTAGGCTGGTGGAGAAAACAAAACTTGTATGAATGAGACCAAAGCAAATTTACCGATACAAACAAGATGGTGTGAAATTTAAAGCGAATTAACGTTCTCCAATAGAATCAAACGTCTGTATTGTGACAAATCATCGAATCCTAGGGAGTCATGAATCGTTACATTTCTGCTCGTAATATAAACTTGTGATTTGCGAGTACATTTAGGATCGGTTACTGACTGTTGTTACTCAGAGCTGGTCCTCGATCACATGGTTTCCCCAAACTCGTAATAAGCCCTTGTGGAGATGTTTACCACCTCGCCCAGTTTACAGGAGGGCGTGGGTTCGATCCTGACCCTGATGCCTGTATATTTGGAGTTTGCGTCCCCATGGTCGTGTTGGATTTTTTTCTCCGAGTCCTCCGGTTTTTCCGTTTAGACTATTTGCCTGTACACGATAAGCCACTTCATTGGGCTGTCATTTGTGATGGACAGGTCGCTTCTGGAAAAGAGTTAGGCAGCTCAGTGGACCTTACCTGGTAAAATAAAAAATAGTTGATAGTTTTGTTTTACTTGTTCGTCGGAGGTGTCCTACTTGACAATGCGTTCTTGTTCCGTGCGCTACAGACCCAAGTGGACACACCCTGGCTACCCCGCTGCTCAGCCTGCCCCCCAGGAAGAAGTAAGTTGTGTCTTACAACTATGTCAGCACAATCTCTGCCCTCTATCTCTCTCAGCAAGTGCCATCTCCTGAAACCTTTGCCTGTCATATATGAAGTGGCAATGAATGGCAAGTGCGAGTTCTTTCGTGTCAGAATCAGAATATTTATACTGGAGGAATCCGATCGAGCTATGAAGCTATTTTTCGCAGATGTCCAGCAGGGGCGGGAAATAACTTTAAAACAACAAACAGTACAAAAACACGAAAGGAGTGCCACTACCAGGCGAGTGTCCCTTAACAATGAGGTTTAAAATCAGCATGTCGTCATTGCCAGAGCCTAATAAGCAGCAATAATTTAAATCGAACGTTCGCCGGAAATGACGAGCAACTTTTTGCACCCGCGGAACACGCCCCCTTGGGAAGAGGGGCTGGGTGGGTGGGTGGGAGTCGAGTCGAGGATGTTAATGTGTGGAAAAGGAAAAAGGGAAGAGCGATTCATCGCAAGAAAAGGTCACGTGACATTTTTTTTGCGCTAGCATCAAAGCATTAAAAATCAGAATAGGTGTTTGCCCTTTCTGGCAATAAAACAGGGAGTGTTGAGACGTTCGAACAAAAGTAGATGATACCTTTTGCAAGGAATTAGTTCCGCATTAACCATACACCAGTGCTTGTGGTAAACATGCAAACGAAACATGCTCTGATAATTTGATATGGCATTGAAACTGATTGGCCGACACCAGAGAGAGCCTTCTTGTTGGCCTCTAGCCTCACCAGTTTCAGACCAGAGAATGCCCAAAAGGCGAACAGTGCAAAGCCAATGCAGGTAGCAGAACAGTTATAGCTCGGGGTGAGCAGCGATATATCATAGTGCCTTTTTTGCGAGTGTCAGATTATGAAAAGAAGGTTGTTACCCTTTCTGGCAATAAAACAGGTGTTAAGATGTTCAAACACCAAATAGTTAACTTTTGCAAGGAATCACGTCTGCATTTATAACACACAGTGCATGTGGTGAACATGCAAACATTCTCCGATAATATACGCATTGGTTTTGAAACCGATTGGTACGTGTGGTTAATGCGGACCTGATTCCTTGTTGTCGGAACACCTTAACGCCTGTGGCCAACACCACGCCCAGCCGCCTTTGTCTCCCTCGGTGGTGATGTTTACGCACCGCATCACGGACACGCACGCACGCACCCGTGCACCGCCGGCATCCGCCGCCTTTTCACACACGCACACACAGCCGGCTGAGCTGATGACTGCGTTGTGCAGGAACCCGGACTACTACGAGAAGGTGAAGGACCCCCTGGACCTGGTTCGTGTGGAGCGCCAGATCTTGACGGGGCACTACCGCACCGCCGAGGCGTTCGACACCGACGTGCTCAAGGTGTTCCGCAACGCCGAGGTACAGCTTCTGCCCTCCCACCCCCCCCCCCCCTCCTCAACCTCCCAATGTGGGCTTTGCACTCCTAGCGTGTGTTGGTATTGTTTGTTGTTGTAACTTTCTGACGCAACCCTACTTGGACATCTTTTGAAAAGGGAGCTCTATAGCTCATCGGATTCCTCCAGTATAAATAAACATTCTGATTCTATGTAAGTCAAGTGTTCAAAGGACCATCGAGGTCTTTTGAACAGGTAACCAGTGGAATAGCGAATCCCCACAAACCCCCTCTACTGAAGCCCTCTCGTCGTGGCCAGCAGACCTCGGGCATTGGCATTTAGCGCCTGGACTTACTGCCATAGAATACCCCTGAGGAAATCCCACACTCCCTTTGGGGTGGGTGCATCGTCTTTGAGAATGCTGCCATGGTGCAACTGTTAGCGCTGGACTTACAGTCCAGAGGGTCGCTGGTTCCATCTCCAGGCACGGCAGTTGAAACACCGGTGGAAGTTTATTAAATTCCTCCCCCACCTGCCGCCCGCCTCTGTCTACCCAGTGGTGTACATAGATACAACCACGGTGAGTCGATAGGCAGGGTCACGTGTGGTTGGGTAGAGTGTGGGGGTGCTCCTCCTTTTTCCAAGACCTCCGACCCCTGTGGCCAGCGTGGAAGAGTAGGCCAAATACTCTACAGAGGGGCTGTCTAGAGCTGCGTCCCCTCTGGTCATTTTTAAGTTCTGTGGCTCGCTTGGTAGTTGGGAAATAGAAATTTGACCCGATCATGACCTCGATACGAAACCAGGCCACATTGGCTACCAATCAAACAGAATTTTTTGTTATAAACTGTGCCTACTCGCCTTCAATGGTGTGCACCAGTCCACTCCTTCCTATTTTGCTGAGCAGTGTTTAACAAGCCTCTGTGGACCTCCAATCTCATACCTGTCAACTCCTTATCAGTGCCTACCTTTATTACAGTCCAATTCAGACTATATTGGTCACCCCGTGCCCCTTATAAATCTCAACGTTCATCCGACAAAGTCCCATCACAAGGGAGAATCACAAACAAATAGGCAAAACATTTTTTTGCCCTGAAAACTCTTATTTCCCTGTACAAGAATACTATAGACCAGGTATGCAATCTATGTGCTGCTGTACCCAGCGTAGTTTTTTTTTGCAAACGAACTCAACACAGTGGTGTTCTTCCGAAAAGGCTTTCACTCTGTGCGATCATTCGTGATGGACTGGACTCGAATAAGAGTGCGCGACAACAAGTGTTCGGACTTACTTTACTTCCCTCTGATGGAGACACCTCCACCAGCGGTAACGTAAGCAAGCGTCTGCGGGTAGGGCTGCAACCTTTACCGCTTCACCCCTTTGATGGCGGGGGTGGGGCAAATGTTAGCTCATCGCTACTTACTCGCGTCAAGGTTCCTAAGAGATGTTCACTCCCTCGCCTTGTGTGCAGGAGGTCATGGGTTCGATCCCGACCCTGTCGATGCATGTACGTGTCTCTCTCCCCGTAGTCGTGTGGATTTCTCTCCGGGTCCTCCGGTTTTTTCATCTACATGCCTGCTATAAATGTGCACACGATAAGCCACCTTTTTGAGCTATCATTTGTGATAGCCAACTCGCTTCTAACAAACGAGACACATAGCTCAGTGGGCCCTTACCTGGTAAAATGAAAAGTCTGGCTTAGTTTAAATTTACTCGTGTATAATTAAAGTTTTGCTTGCGCGTGCTTTCATCAGAAGTACCACGGGCGCAAGTCGAACGTGGGCCGCGCCGTGTGCCGCCTGCGCAAGGCCTACTACAGCGCCCGCAGCGACGCCTCAGCTCAGCTCGAGGAGATCGCCGGCGAGACCGCGAGCGAGGCGGACGGCAGCGAGATCTCGGGCGGCGGCACCGGCACCAACGGCGGCGCCGGATCCGGGGCAGACCGCCACGACGGGGGCAGCGCCGGCGGAGACAAGGACGGCGGCGCCAACGACGACGTCATCCGCTGCATCTGCGGCCTCTTCCGCGACGAGGGGCTCATGATCCAGTGCGACAAGTGCTTGGTGAGGAGGGACGGAGACGCGGGGGGCGGGGGCTGCCAAATGTCGTTTTGTTGTCCTTCTTTGTCGCTTTGTGTCTACCCAGGAAATCCTCACCGAGTCCTGAGGCTCTTCATTGTATTTATGTTTTCTTCCAGGAAAGGCCCCTGCTAAGTTTTTCGCACGAGGAAGCGACGATCCGCTCTTGTGTCCGCCAATTAAGTTATTTGCAAAGTAATTTTTCAAAATGTGTAACATTTTGACCAAGGGACCCGTGTGCACACGATGGCCCACACGCTTTCGAATAACTTCACAGGACCTTGACCGCCCACTGTGAAGCGGGCGGCGCGTACTATATGGTTAAAGCGCCCGCACTACTAACCAGTGCGGTGAACCTCTGTTTTAGCCGCGGACCTCTGCGGCAAACGCGCTACCGCTGGGCCACGTCACACCCTCTCGCTATCATAAGGGGCCAATAGGTTCCCGTCCATGAGGCCGTTTTAGAGCGGGCACCTATTCCAGAGGATGGCAGTAAAGGACCATTGCTTTAAATTCTTGCCCATGGTCTCTGGCTCTCATTTACACACCACGTTGCACCCCGAGACCCGCGTGACTCGAGCAGGGCTTTGACAAGAGCGCCGCAGATGTACGTGTGCAAAGGGGTCGAATGCTCCCGAGTCGGCTGCGACTCGGCCCGGTAGAGGGCGCCGCGTGACAGTGCCGTTGCCGCCCCTGCGCCCCAGGTGTGGCAGCACTGCGACTGCATGGAGGTGACGGAGGACGTGGAGCACTATCTGTGCGAGCTGTGCGAGCCACGCCACGTCGAGCGGGTGGGTGGACATCGCCGCTTCCCGGCGTTCCTGCCTGCCCCTGCCTCCCCTTCTCTTCCTACATGTCCCAGTCTCCCGTCTCGCATCCTCACTTCCTCCCGTCTCCCCCATCCCCCATCTCCCCATTTCCTCCACGTTGATATCTCCCCCACCTCTCCATATCCCCAAACTCCCCAAGTCTTCCTGCGTTTCCTCATTTCCGTGTTCCTCTGTCTCTCCGTCCTTATCTCTCTGTCCACGTCTCCTTCCTTTGGGTTCTTCCTTTTCTTCTCATCTCTTACATAACCTCGGTGTGGATCTCTCCATCCCTTTGTACATCCGCAACGTAAAATGCAGTCCGACTTTTAAGAAACATCTGAAGGCCTCCTTCTCTAAATGTTTGGATCAGGCTTTCGAGCAGCCCAGAGCTTGGATCCGTGCCTCTGACTTGTTGACTTGTCTGTAAAATCTGGCGCGTTATAAATGTAATTCTTATGATTTACCTCCCCCCCGTCTCTACCTATACCTGGCCTCTCTCTTTCTCACGGGCAAACCCAGCTGACGGCGCAGGCCTCCAATCCTCGTCGTTGTTTACATCCACACTCGCCTCGAACCAAACAAATGTCCTCCTCGACCGCTGGCGAGCGGCCGCTGGCGAGCGGTGTGAGCACGGGCGTGAAGCTCTCAATGGTGCCCTTGCCGGTACCGTTACACTCGCGAGGCCCCTCGCCAGTCGCGCGCTATAGACACACGGGCGCCCTGCACGCCCTCGTCCGCTTACTACCCCCCACCCCCGCCCCGCCCGCAGGAGGTGCCCATGGTGCCGCAGCCGTCGTACGCCCAGAACGGAAGCTCCTACTACATCTGCCTCCTCCGTGACGACCTCTTGCTCAAGCAGGGTGGGTTGCGGGCCATCCCACATCGCCGCCATCCTCTGGGAGTGGCTCGCCTGGGGGGGGGTCTAACGCTTGGTGGCTCGGAGAATTTGTGCCGGCTCCGCTGAGATTCTGGGTTTGAACCCTGGTTTAGGCCGACCGTGTTTTAAGGCCGGGCTCTCGCGTGGGGCGAGTCGATGGTCTCGGCCTGGCCACCAATGACTGAATGTGAAATTGGTACCGCCTTGCGTTATACTCATTGCTCCGTATGGCTTATTAACACGCTGTAAACACCGCTCCGTGGGGCACTTAAAAGATGTTCGCCAAGTGTGCATGAACCCTACCACACCTGAGTTCAGTTTCCAGCCGTGGGTAAAACCAATGGCGAGTGATATCACCACCGATCATGCGCCTCCTCTAGGTTACCTGGTGCGGTGTGTATAGCGGAGGAGTCTCGTGAATGACGCTACTGGGCAGTTCAAGGCAGTCGCCCTCCAATAACAACGGAGGGCAGGAGAGCGATGCTCACAACAGCAGGTTGGCACAGTAGGGGGCACAGCTGGTGCATGTCATCTCAGTCAATCAACCCATGGCACCTCGGTCTGTCCCGTGACCGCCTGTCAGCGAGCCTTTGACAGCTGTTGTTACAACAGAGACAAAGCCACCCACTCGTGGCCACACCACTTTCCTCAATAGCTCGTGTGGTGTCCTCTGGTCTCACACCGTTTGAGACTAGGCTCAAAGGGAAGCTGTCTCTGGTGTGGACCAATCAGTTTCAAAGACAATGCATCATATATTATCAGAGTGGTTTATTTTGTTTGCATTCTGACCACAAGTATTGTGGTTAATGTAGACATGATTCCTTGTGAAAGGTTTCAGTTTGGTGTTTTAACATCTTAAAACCTGTTTTGTTGCCAGAAAAAAGGGGAAAACCTATTCTCATGGGGAATCTTTGTTTATGTGTGTGTGTGCGTGGGAGTAGGCGACTGCTCTGCGCTACGAACCCAGTGACCCAAGTTCGATTCCCACTCACGGCCAACACCAGTGACGATGATATGAACTGGTCCTGGGCCTCCCCTAGGTCAACTCAGCCTCAAATGAGTACCTGGTGCGATGTGTAAAAACATCGTCAACTCAGGGGGACGAAGGCGGTCGGGCGTGGTGTTGGCCACCCCACCCCTTCGTGTGCCGTGACGGCCTTCGTAGGGTGCCGCTCACTAACAGCACTTGCCCCAACAGTATGTTAAAGGCTATCCGGGGGATCTTTGTCTTTGCAGGCGACTGCGTGTACCTGATGAGGGACAACTCCCAACAGCGGCGCGGCGCCGACGGGCAGCCTGTGCGGCAGTCGTACCGGCTGCTGTCGCACGTGAGCCCTGACAAGCTCGACATCTTCCGCGTAGAGAAGCTCTGGAAGAACGAGAAGTGAGGACCCTGAAAGCCACCGCACGCACGCGCAAGCACGCCCACGCACGCATGCCCACGCACGCCCACGTACGCCCACGCACACGCACACGCACGCCCACGCACACGCACAGCCGCGTGCTTCGTGACTGTGTGTGCGTCTTGTGATGTGAACCCCGGGGGTCGTTGTGATTGTGCGTATCTTGCGATACAAATGATGTGCTCGTTGTGATCGTGTATCTTGTGACACGTACCCCCGTGTCACGGCGATTGTGTGTCGACCAATTCGGCGTGCGTTTCTTAACGCTGGCATCACATGCTCGTGTTTAAAAATGCAAGGCACCTATGTTGTTTTGCTTGCGTGTTCTCATAGATGCAAGCCCCATTCTGTTAGGTTTATGTGTGTGTGGGGGGATTGGTAGTGTAGCAGTTAGCGCGCTGCAGTATGAACCCAGCGTCCCGAGTTCCATTCTCGCTCACGGCCAACACCAGTGACGATTACCTGAACTGGTCCAGGGCCTCCCCTTGGTCGACTCAGCATCAAAATAGTACCTGGTGTGTGACAAAGGCGGTTGGGCGTGGCGCTGGCCACCCACCCCCTCGTTTATCTTGCTGGCCTTCATAGGTGCTCGGTAACAGCACTTGCCCCAACAGTCTGTTAAGGCTATATGAGGGGGATCTCTTCGTCTTTGTGTGTGTGTGTGTGTGCGCATAACCGCACGTGTGCCTGCCCGTGCGTGTGCCTGCCCGTGCGTGTGCCTGCCCGTGCGTGTGCCTGCCCGTGCGTGTGCGTGCGTGCGTGCCGCAGGGGCGAGCGCTTTGCGTTCGGGCACCACTACTTCCGGCCGCACGAGACGCACCACGCGCCGTCGCGCCGCTTCTACCACAACGAGCTCTTCCGCGTGCCCCTCTACGAGATCATCCCCCTCGAGGCCGTTGTCGGCATCTGCCAAGTCATGGACCTCTACACCTTCTGCAAGGGTGGGTCCCCGCGACCCCCTCCCACCACCGCCACGCGCCCCCCCCCCCCCTGCCCTCCTCACCCACCCCCACCGCGCTACCGTCACTCGTCAACATCACCGCCGCCGCCACCACCACCTTCGTAATTGAATTTTGGGTCGCATCGCTTATGTAAAATGCGTCTCTTAAACCCTCCTCGACTATTAAAGTCCTTTGCGAGTAATTTTATCAAAGTCTGGACCGTGACACCATGGCCCCACTCTCTTTTCGAATAGTGTCTCAGGCTTCTTTAACGCCCACTGTGAAGCAGACAGCTCCTACTCACGGCGAATGACGCCCATAGTTTTTAGGCCCGAGTCTGTTCCTCTGTGTCCGTGTCCAGACCTGCTTGTCTATGTCCCCAAGCCCTCTATCCGAGCTCTTACGTGCTGCTTGCAACCATTGTATCCGTGTCCTAGTCCTTATCCATGGAGTGTCTGAGCCCTCCCCATCGTGTGTGCCGTGCGTCGCAAGCGCCGTTATCGGCGTCTCATCCTCGTCTCTGTGACGAGAGCCTTTTGCGTCCCCCGTCTGCGCAGGACGGCCCAAGGGCGTGAAGGAGCAGGACGTGTACATCTGCGACTACCGGCTGGACAAGTCGGCTCACCTCTTCTACAAGATCCACAAGAACCACTGGCCCACGTGCACCAAGGCCTACGCCTTCGACCACTTTGAGAAGCGGCTCGCGCCCAAGCGGGACTTCACGGCGAGTGAATTGCCTAAACGCCACGGCAGGGTCACGGTTCACAGGGTACCACGCAGGGTCATGGTTCACAGGGTACCACCCAGGGTCACGGTTCACAGGGTACCACCCAGGGTCACGGTTCACAGGGTACCACCCAGGGTCAAGGTTCACAGGGTACCACCCAGGGTCAAAGTTCACAGGGTACCACCCAGGGGTCACGGTTCACAGGGTACCACCCAGGGTCACGGTTCACAGGGTACCACCCAGGGGTCACGGTTCACAGGGTACCACCCAGGGTCACGGTTCACAGGGTACCACCCAGGGTCACGGTTCACAGGGTACCACCCAGGGTCACGGTTCACAGGGTACCACCCAGGGTCACGGTTCACAGGGTACCACCCAGGGTCACGGTTCACAGGGTACCACCCAGGGTCACGGTTCACAGGGTACCACCCATGGGTCACGGTTCACAGGGTACCACCCAGGGTCACGGTTCACAGGGTACCACCCAGGGTCACGGTTCACAGGGTACCACCCAGGGTCACGGTTCACAGGGTACCACCCAGGGTCACGGTTCACAGGGTACCACCCAGGGTCACGGTTCACAGGGTACCACCCAGGGTCACAGTTCACAGGGTACCACCCAGGGTCACGGTTCACAGGGTACCACGCAGGGTCACGGTTCACAGGGTACCACCCAGGGTCACGGTTCACAGGGTACCACCCAGGGTCACGGTTCACAGGGTACCACCCAGGGTCACGGTTCACAGGGTACCACCCAGGGTCACGGTTCACAGGGTACCACCCAGGGTCACGGTTCACAGGGTACCACCCAGGGTCAAGGTTCACAGGGTACCACCCAGGGTCACGGTTCACAGGGTACCACCCAGGGTCACGGTTCACAGGGTACCACCCAGGGTCACGGTTCACAGGGTACCACCCAGGGTCACGGTTCACAGGGTACCACGCAGGGGTCACGGTTCACAGGGTACCACCCAGGGTCACGGTTCACAGGGTACCACCCAGGGTCACGGTTCACAGGGTACCACGCAGGGGTCACGGTTCACAGGGTACCACGCAGGGGTCGGGCAAAAAGGGTCACGGGGCTACGGGACATCTGTGAAAAAGAGCTTTGTAGCTTATCGGATTCCTCCAGGATAACTGAAGATCCTGATAATGATTCTGCGATCCGGGCAACATCGTTGCGGGACCACCGAATGTGAAAAGAATAGGGAAAGGAAGTGGGGAGGGTGCTGGGGAGATGGAGCCTGAAATAGCAAAGATAGATGAGCTGACCTTCAAGTATAACCCGGCAAGAACCCGTTGAGACCTAAAGTTTAGTTTTTAAGGAAGACCTTGAATGCATTGTGTAGTGTTCCTTTGTTGCATAAGTTGCAGTGCCACAGCGAATATATGAAAAAAAAATGTGTTTTCTGGGCAACTGCTGTTGTAAGTCATTTTAACGCCGCGTCTGCGTGTTTGTGTGCTGCCGTTTGGTGTGGCTTTGTGGTGTTTTTTTTTTTTTAACACCCCTTAGCCTCACCACGTTCCAGAGAACTACAAGCGGAATGGCGGGAGGTGAGTGGCCTCTCTCACTCAATCCAGGGAGGGAGAGGAGAGTGGAGGGGGGGGGGGTCGTGGGAGAGGAGGGGAAGGGAGGGGAGTCGGGGGAGGGGGGAGGGACACGGGTCACGATGTCGGTGAGTGGTAAGCAGAGGCCCATTTGCTCCCTCGGACACTTAAGAGATGCGAGCAGCATTTGATCACGTTCCGTCGCTTCGTTTGAACAATACAGCAGTGGCAGGATATCGAGTTGGGTGATGATTCATCGTCCCCAAGCAATTGACAGATTTATCACGATTCTGGGTCAAGGTTTCGGGTCACAATTTTTCGGTCACGATTCAAACCATATTAACTTGCCGTCTCGTTCCATCTGTCTTGTTTGTAACTGCCTGCCTTGTTTGTTTGTCTGTCCTATTGGCAATGTCGCTCTCATCTGTCATGCACTTCTTCTTGTCCATCTCTCTTATATCCGTAACCGTCAATTAACAGATAATGTGCACGAAATTTTACATAATGTATTATTCCAAGCACAATTCTGGCACATATATCTTGAGCGTAAGAGTCCATTTTAATTGATGGATCGATCGCTCTTAACATGCCTTCAAGACAAATCTGAATTACGACCCTTTCACTTGCTGGACGGAAGCATTCCCGCGCCATGTCGGTTACGTGGGTTCGACTAAACTTCTCCACCCAGTTCAGTGCGAGATGGTGAAGGGGTGGGGAGCCGAAGATCGGTTGGGATGCCACTCGCCACCGACGTTAGACTTGGCCGGGATCCAAACCCAGGCTCTCACGGTTCAGTACTTGTACGCACCGCTGCCCCCCCCCGTAATGGATGAACGGCGATTAAATCCGGAGAGATGTCGACACGGCGAGTTGACGCAGACTGCCCGTTACGTGCGCGTGTGACACTAGCGGCGGCGGCGGCAGCAGCAGCGGCAGCCGGTCGCCTTCGTGGAAGTCCGACAAGAGTCGCTCGCGCAGGAAGAAGCCGATGCTCGGAGCGCCGTCCTCTAGACACGTGGACGACGCGTCGTCACCACCGGCAACGGCACTACCAGCACCGCCACCGTCACCGCCACCAGCACTGCCTGTGGCAACGTTATCGGAGGAGCACAAAAAAGCCGAGTCGGTTTGCCACGGCGAGACCAAGGCGGAGCAGAACAGCAGCAGCAACGGCGGCGGCAGCATCGGCAAAAGCGATGATGGCGACGGCAAAGAAAGGATCGACGGTGCCAGCGCTGTCATCCAGGGCAGCTGTAGCAGGGGCAGCAGGAGCAGTAGCCGGGCGCGGCGACAGCAGCAGCAAGAGAGGGAGCGAGCGGCGATGTCGGAGGTCTGCTCGGAGGACAGGTCGGGGGACAGGCCAGAGCAGCCGCCCTCCACGGAGCAGCCCCCCACGGAGCAGCCCCCCACGGAGCATCCCCCCACGGAGCAGCCCCCCACGGAGGGGGAGCGCCGGCAGCGGCAGAAGGATCGTCTCAACAACTTCCTCCTGTCACTTCTGGCGAAATGTCCCAGCAGGAACGGTGAGGAAGGGGGGGGCGGTCCTTGTTGCTACTCAACGGTGCAGCGTGAGCTTTGAGTTACATTCACAGATTGTAGATGTACAAAGCTTTTAATGATTATAATAGTGAGCTAGAACATTCTATTTTTGCCTCTATCACTAAGAGGCTGTGTGTCGCAGATGTGTAGTCTGCCAGTCGGGTGGTGGGGGGGGGAGTGATCTTGCTGTGGTTTTACCCAATTAAGTAATTTGCCCAGGTATGTAGCATTTTGACGTGCTACATATTGATCGCGACGCCATCGCTCACGGCCGCCTGCCCTTGGTTCGTAATACCACAACGCAATATTTAACGTCCACTGAAGCGGATGCTCGTGTTCAGGGCAATATTTACCCGCGGCGATAGCCGGGACGCCCACGAAGCTTGAACCCCGCGGAACCTCTGCAACAAAGGGGGGCAAACAGCGATGCCCTTGGGCCACGTTGTGTCGTCATTGTCTCGTGCTGCCTCGTCCGCTGACCTCGAACCCTCTCCCCGCCCCACCCCCCGACCCCCTGGCCGCCTGCGCACGCACACGCGCAGCCATCGACGTGACGTACCTGCTGGAGGAGGGCCCCGGGCGGAAGCTGCGCAAGCGCTCGTCGCTCTCCTGCGAAGCGTTCGTGCTCAAGTAGCGGCGAGCGCGACGAGCTCCGGTCACCGTCTCCGTGGCACCCGCGTGCCGAGCAGCGGGACCCAAGCCGCCGCCCCCCCCCCCCCCGCTTCCTCACGGTGGTCGTGGGCGCCGCCGCCACGCCGCCGCCGCTTTCCGACGGTTTTCTTCCAACGTCGACGGCGGGCGCGGTGGGTGGGGGAGTGGGGGGGGGGACCTTGAGTTTAGGGGCATTTCGACGGCACGCGGAGACGAGATCAACCGCGACGACGAACCAACGACGAGGGTGCGCAGGCTGCTCCGAGATGAACGGACACGCACGGGCAGACGGCCCACGTTGATTCAACTGCCGATGCTGGCGGGGGGGGGGCGGGCGGGGGAGGCGGTGAGGGTGGGGCGGCGGCGGGGGGGGGGGGGGTGGTGGACTCTCGAGCCGGACGCTTGGTCACGGGAAAGACATGGCCTGCCCCCCGCGAGCTTCCTCCGCGCGGCGGGCAGTGGGACCGCGGCCGCTCGCCCCCGGGAGGCCACACTACGGTTGGGCCGGGCACATCGGCCGCTCCCACCTCTTCCTCCGCCCCCCCCCCCCACTTAACGGTTTAGATGAGTAACGTCCTCCCCGGCGGTGGTTTTTTACCAACTCGGTACTTGAAAAACAACAAAAAAAAAACACGTGAAGAAAATACGTACTTTACTGTAATCGTAACAGCAACAATAAGTTAAATAACTTGTTTTTTTTATTATATATATAAAACAAAAAAATTACTGCGAAAACAAACGCCGCGCAACCTTCCGCTTTGTCGGGAATTTAAAAAAATTATGCGATCCTTATCATCGAAAGCCGTTCCTTTGCTACGTTTTTAAAGAAACAAAAAAAAGTATATATATGAAATAGTAAAAAAACAAGGATGTTAACGTTATTTAAACAGACGCAGATGACAAGAAATGAATTTCGGTTTGTGTCGAAGCACTTATATAATAAAAATGCTTTTTTTTCTCTCCAGTCAAACGGTTTCATCAGCGCGACGCTACGGTGAAGACGTGAGTTAATCGAGACGACAGTATTTAAAAAAAAAATCTTTTTACGCAAACTCGGCAAATATATATGTAAGTTAAAACAAAAATAATGAAAAATCAAAATGTATTTAGTTCACCGTGATGCGTTAGGTAACATACTGTAAATGTTTTCAAACTGTCCAATGCTGATCTTCTAAAGAGGTTTCTTAAGCTTTTTAATCGGAACACGGAGGAGGAAAAAACCCCCCTTTTTAAGTTTAAATTTTCTCTCGTTTTCCTTGACACTTTTTATTTTTTTGTTCCAGATATTTTATGCTTGCGATGTTTGTGAGTGGCAGTGGCCGGGGCAATGGGGGAGAAGTGTGTTTTGTACACGTGTAATATAAATGGGCTCGTTTCCCCTGGGCCTGGCTGTACATAGCTCATGGTGTCACACACACACACACAGCGGACTTTCTGAAGCAATACTTGGCCCGCCGTTTCGTCCAATTCAGAACATGCTCTCTCTCGCTCTCTCTTGGACCAATAGCATCGTCGTCGTCGTCGTCGCAGTCTGTGTTTTTACAGCCTAAAGTGAAGCTGGCGCGAAACGTTTTTATTAAATAAACACAACGAAGTGACACTGTAATCACGAACGTATCCGTTAATAGTTTGTGGTGGCGATGGTAAGGCGGGACCCCACCCCCCCCCCCTCCTTTTGTGACCCCACAAAACTTGCAAAAAAGTTACAAGTAATTGTTGCAAGTCTCTTAATCGACGTGGAACCCCGCTTGCCTGTTACCTCTTTTTTTTCCCCACTGCTCAAAGAAAGCGAGCCGTAGCCGGTGCCCATCCAAACCAGGCGGTCGCTTCGCCCCCGGGGGAGGCTCCCGGTTTTCTTTCCATTGCAGAAGCCGAGTGGTGGCACAACCGAAACGTCCGCGCGCCGCAATGAGAGAGCCGAGGAAGCACGCGCCGGCGACACGGCGGAGCGCCGTGTTGAAAAGTCGTGTTGCCGTACAGCGCCGGGTGGGATGGAACGCGCGCGATCGGGCCCCGTCCTCCGGCCCTCCGTTGGCCTCGGGGCCACAGTGTTGCGAGGGCCAGCCTGCACTTTTTTTTAATTCCTTAATTGGCTAAAACTTTTACAAGATACATTTTATATTTGAAATTATATGATTTATTACCTTTTTTTACACACTTTTATTGAACTTGCCGTGTCGTCTGTTTATATTCTTGGGAATCTTTGACGCTCAATATCTTCGGATCTACGAAGCCGAACGAGCAGAAATTTTCTGCGCAGACCTCGCCGCGCTCTCGAGACAATTCAAGATTTCATTTAAAAAAAAAACGGTCCAGGTCCCGCCCGTCGTGGTCCTATTCGTGTTTTTAACAAAAAAATTATAATAAAAAATCGTACATCTTACTCCCCCCCCTCCTCCCCTTTTTGATATCACGAATGGTCACGCTCACCTACGACGGCAAACATCTGGTCCAGTCACATCGGCTTTTGCTGGCCAGCCTATGACCAATGAAAGGAGCGCTTATATCGCCGCTAGTCATGGCGCCGGAGCGGTCACTGTGATTCCCTCTTGCATAGCGCGAGAGCAACAAGGACACAAAAAATTGGTTTAAAAACACAACAAGATTTTCAACGCGCACACGTTTATTTGCGCTTGAAAGGAAAAATTCAATTATTTTGACACCTGGATTAATCAAATGTGATGTGCTCAATGAAAGTGGGTGGCTTCTTTTCGATACGTTTCATTTTCTTTATGCAAGCAACTTTCATTGAGGACATCAAATTTGATCAATTCCTGTGCCAAAGTAATTCATTTTTTACTTTTAAGTGCAAATAAAAGCGTGTGCATTGAAAAGCTTTTTTTTTACCCGATTGTCTTTTGTATTTTATTTTTCCCTTGACGTGTTGTGCCTGTCGCGGAAGCGGTACGTTTGTATTGATGAAACCCGACTTAAGAGCTTCTTGGCTCATAGGGTACTTCAAAATAAACTGACACTGAATGTGGGGGGAGGGGGGGGAGGGGAATGCCAGTGGGAAAAATCACCCCGCACCGTGAAGGCCCGACGCTGGCGCAGCTCAAGATGTGTGCCGGTGGATGTAAGCGGGTATCGTAACCGGGGGGGTGTTTGGTGTGGATCGTGTAGCAGGTTTAATTTCCCTTCGACGGTGAAATGGGAAAACATTATGGTGACGAAGGCGGCATAGGAGGCCGAATTCACGTCGCAACTTTGGGCAAACGATTTTGTCCTCGCCAACGGTGGAACAAATCGTCTGAAGGGTTTCTTCACGGCGTGAATCTGGCCCCGTTTGTACAAAAATGTGGTCTCCCGTCTGGCATGGGGGGAAATAGGGCCCACGAACAGAATCTAAACTCTGAAAACCACTGACTGGTAAAGGCAAACAGGCTCGCATTGCGGTGGCTTCAGGATTATTGAGGATGGCATTCAGAATGTTTACATCTTCAGGCCAATTACTGCGAATATTCCACTCCAAACTTGTACGAAATGCACACGTGTACAGCCCCTTTTTTTCAGTCCACTTGCTGGATGAGGCACGCCCCTCTCCTCCTGGTGGGGGGTTTGGCTATACTTCACCACGCTGGTCAGTGCGGGTTTGGTGTAGCCGGGGGAACAGGTGGAACGGTCGAAGTTACAGTGCAACAGGATTTCGCTTTGCCGTAAACCGCACAGCCCAGCGACCTAAAAAAGCCTGCTTGTTAATTGCTGGTCGCCCATGCGAGCACTAATCCAGGCTGACGCACACCTGCTTAGCTTCCTCGAGATTTGACGAGATGATTTGGTCAAAGCTCCATCAAGTTCGTGGAGTTTTTTTTAAATTATCAAATCGTTTGATGAACAGATTGAATTACCAGCCCCGGCTCCACTCTCGTGCTTATTTATTCGCATGGATACAGACCGAGACTCGCGCGTCCACCAAACACGAGACACTTGACACAACCCTGAGCACTATTGTAAAAGAAAATATATAAATTTCCACCTTGTTATGAATGTAGATTAAATTAGTGGTCCCCCTGTATAAATCAACGCTATTGAACGAGTTCAATCAAGATAATGAGCGGGGGAGTGGGGGGGGGGGTTGAGGTGTATTGGAGTTGGAACTAAGCTTACGTTCAGATCTAAACGTGGCTTAACCCCAAACTCTATCCTGCTCTCATCAAACCTGTCCCTCGCAAATCTCCACATCATCGCCTCCTCGAATTGAAACGCACTCACTTGCTCGTTCCCAGCAGCAGCAAGGCGGTGGTCTTAATTTTTTAATTTATGTATTTAAACATTCAAACGTTGGACGAATTTATTCATGAATAACAATGTGAGGGGGGGGGGGGGGTGGCGATTATTTGGATCGTGTTAACGAAGCATTTGCCGGCCGTACGCGGTCGCTAGAATTGTCTCGTGCTGGGGGGTTGCGACACGGACGTTGTGTAGCCCCCCCCCCCATCACGCTCGCCCCCCCCCCCTTTCCCTGCGTTACCTCTTAGGCACGTAACGCTTCACCCCGTCTAGCCCCACGACTCCTAAACGACGAATTGTCACAATCGTTGCCACCCGTCCTCTCGTTGCGGTCCATCCCGTCATCGTCCGCTCTCGCTCGCTGACCCCTCCTTCCCAGTTGGCGCTCTTCGTCAGCCCGAGCGGTGCTTTTTGTTGCGCGCGCGCGTGCGCGTTCGATGATTACCCGCAGCGGTTCCGACGCTTGCATCCCCGTGCCCGGCGTTCCGTAGGATCCATTATTCAAGTGGACGGTTCCGTTACGTGCCTAACAGCTCTGGGTGAGATTCGCCCGGTTCACCTTCGGCTATTTCCACCTGACTGAAAGCTGTATCCTCTTCCCCACCCCCGACCTCCAGCCCAGCACGGAATTCACACTCTTAATGTACAGAGATAGGAGAGAGAGAGAGAGGTGGGGGGGAGGTTCCAGGTAGGTAAACTATCGGCATTTTTGTAACAAAAAATATAAGCTGAAGAGAAAAAATAAGAATCGTGCCTGCAGTTCCGTCGCGTTTTGTAGTCTAAAATGACACGCTTTGGTTTTTAAGCATCGCAACAACTGACCTGTACAGTTTCACACGGCGCGGCCGCGCGCGTTCTAAAGGTAACAGCGTGTCGTGTTAATCGGGCGCGCGCGCGCGCGCACCAGAGAAGAGTATGCTTGTGTGTGTACGTGCGCGCGCATGCGTGCTTCCGTCCGTCCGTATGCGAGTTCTTCATTAAAACAAAATCGGGCAATCCCAACTGTGCGTTTGTCATCGCCCCGAGCCAGCCCCTCGTCCTCTCACCCAGTGGCCGTTTGTGTCCTCTGCATATTCACCAGGGCACCTCTCCCCCC